AATAGTTAGACCAACGGACAGGTAAGAATGAGATGGATAATCAATGACTCAAATAAGAGTTTTGATTTTCATTTAAAAAATATTTTCAAAAATCAAACACCAAAAAGTATTTTGTGAATTTTTTTTTCAAGACCTTTGCCAAACATCAAAAAATAATTAGGAAATATATTTTACATGAAAATTTTTTATATGGAAAATATTTTTCGAATATGATATTTTACGTCAAAACTAATAAAGTTTGAATGTAGCCAGTGATTTGATAAACAATGACGTCGGAAAGCACTTCCACTTCGTGCCCTTAATTATTGAATTAAAGGACTGAACTTAAAATAGCATTACTTGCAATTTGACGGTGGAGAGAGATTAAGAGAAGGAAGAATATTTTTGTCTATATATATTTGTCATTTGATGGTAATCTAAGAATAACAACGCCTTTATTTTTGCTGATAGACATTTTGGTCACTGCAATCAATTTTTTGTATGTCATTAACCTTTTGGATGGGGGTTATGCGTGTAATACCCCGTATTTTATTAAAGAGTTTAGTTTATTTAAAAATTCAATTATGTGAGGATTTCTTTACTTATTATTGTGCATGCTACATTATTATATTAAGTTCATTTAAATGTGCATGTAAATTAATTGTGTATGTTAAAATAGTAAATTTATTCATTTAATTATGCATGTATTATTATTAATAATTTTATTTGTTGGTTATGCTTATATTAATCATTATTAGTTAATTAAAGTATTATATTTGTGTTATAAAGTATTATAATGATATAATGTATTCTTATGTAATAATAATAATAATAATATAATAATAATAATTATTATTATAAAAGTTTTATTAATAATAATATTAGTAATAATAATATTAGTATTAAATCAATGTAATGATGAAAGATTAAATCTTAGGATAGGATTTACCTTAGGACATCTTGCTTGACTTGGCTTGCTAGCCTTAAAGCCTTATGGTTGGGAATGTGGTTAATTAAATGCAAAAATAGATATTTGTAATATTTATATTATATAATTTGTATATAAATTAGCTAGCCTACCTTAGAAGGAAAGAAAGGGAGTTAGAAACAAATTATAAATTCTAGTGAGCCATTGTAAAAGTGTGGAAAGGAAGAGAGAGAAAGAAAGGAGCTTGGACCGGTGTAGGGAATTTACCCGACTACGCGCAACCGGCGGATTTATTTTAAATCCAAAAAGGCAAGTTATTATCTACTTTTCCCCTTTGAATCCATAAATTAATTGTTTAAATTATTTAAATAATTATAGAGCTTAGAGATCATGCTAGGAAATTATTAAATTAATTTTTTTAATTTATTAAAGAAAGGAAATTTTAATTATTAAAGGTGGTCGATAATTATTTTATGGCCTATGTAATCAAAATATAGCTAAAAATAATTATTATGGCCTTTGGGATTTTTTTTAGAATTTTCTAGAATTTTCCGGTAAGTTTCTGCAATTTCCGGCGACCTTTCGGCGAGTTTTCCGGTCGCCGGCAATGGGGGAGATGACCGGAGTGATCCGGTGTGATGCGGCGCACCATAGGAGGGTATGCGCGCGCATCTGGGCCATTAACATGAGCGATTGATCCGGTGCACCGCGGTCCATGTTACCGCGGTACACCCGGATTTGTGGGCGTTGGATGGAGGGAAGATAGGGTGAGATGATCCGGTGTGACGCGAGTACGGAGTCCGGATGCAGCCAACCAACCAGGAAGTGACACGTCTGCAGGAAGCCATGGTGCGCGCGTGGGAGCGCGTGCGCGCGCGTAGCTGATGCCAGACGCGCGTGGGAGGTTCTAGACCCGTGTGAAGGCGCGTGTAAGCGCGTGCGCGTGTGAGAAAAGTGGCGGCGCGTGTGGGAAGCTCTGGGAGGCGCGTGAGGGTGCGTGTGGGGTCTCTACAGCTGCTGGAAATTACCAGAATACCCCTAGGGCCTGTTTTGTAAATTCCAGAACCTTAAACGTGGATTTTTAGGTACTGTGTTGGTATTTACGGGTTTAACGGGCCACGAAATTATTATTTTAATACCCGTTAATTATTCTTATGGCCAATTAATCTTTTCTAAGCATCTATTGGCTCGTTTACGGTACGGATATTAATGTGATTTATTTAATGACATTGTTAAATATAAATAGTGTTAATATCTTACTAAATGGTATCAAACATTACTGTTAAATTAAATAATGCCATGTTTTAGTCATATAAATTATCCAATATATATTATGGGATATTTATACTGTTAATCATATATCAACCATGATTATTATGCTGTGTACATTTCAGGAAATAAATGGACTGTTTAAATTAGGTCGCATTTATATTATATGGATGTGTTGCCATATAGAACCATGTGAGCTGGCTAATAAGTTTAGACTCATTTATACCTTATGCATTCGTTGCGATAGACAGATGTGTGGCTGTCGGGGTATGTGGTTTAATATTATTGGCATGTGTTGCCTAATTGACATACTCGGTATATTTATTAATATTGCTGGCATGTGTTGCCTAATTTATATGCTCAATATATTCATCAGTACTTTGCGAGGTGTTATCACTGTGTAGTTCGTTATAGTCTGTGTTGTCAGTACCGTGCACTATGTATAATAGCTGATTTCCCGGGTAGGGAAAGGCGACACTTAACCACCTAGTGTGAGTCTAAGTGATCACCGTCTATTCTGGTTGAGGTCATGTTATACATTGGATAGTTCCCTTAGGATGTATACAGATATAGTACTCAACCGATTCATAATGATTAATTTATTTGATTCTCTGATTTGGGTCATAGTAGAGAGGACTTGCTCGTGGGGTTGACCCACCATTGTTGTTATTTCAGGATACGGTCAGTACCCGTTCCAAGGTTGAGGTTAGCAGTGTGGGACCACCATCCGAACTCATCTACTCTTACGATCCAGTTCAGGGTAGAAGTTTTATGTATTACTTCAGTTTCAGTTTTTATTTACTTTTGACGTTGAACTCTCAGGGTTATATTTAGGGATCCTTGACATAGGATTTCCAAGTTGTAATGAAGTACGGTATTAAATAAAGGATGGATGGATGTTGTATTATTTAGTGTTCCTTTCCTGTCTAAATTCTTTTATTATCATCATTTTGTATTCCATGCTTGTATATTGCCAATTGTTTTTGATATCCCTCGTTTTTCGTGTATAAGCCTGATCAACTTATGCGTGGAAAATGTTGGGGGTGTTACAATGCGTCTCCATAGAAGAGCACGGTGTAGTATAAATTTAATGTCGTGTGTAATTAGATCAAACCTTAAGGACAATTAGTGTAATTTATTATTATTTTTTTTAACTATATTGTTTCATAATACTATTATAATTTCCACTTCATTCGGAAAATAATAATAATAAAAGGGTAAATTGCAGTGATACCCCCTCAAGTTTTTTTAAAAAACAGGTAGATATAACTTGGGCCATTTTTAGACAATGACACCCCCAGGTTTGCAAACTTGAACAATGACACCTCATTCTATAAAAAGGAGCCAAACACAGCCTTAATTGACATAAAATGTCTCATATGCCCTAAGATATATTTTAATTCTCTCATAAAATGACAAAACTACCCTCTCCTTATCTTTCTCTTTTCAATCCTATTTTTGCTAAACATAGATTCTCGTCTCTCTCTTTCAACCCTCTCATTGAAATTCCCAAACATATACCAAAATGGTGATTCTAAATTCTTCATTAAAGTTTATTAAAATGGAAGAATGATGATTGGAATGAGGTGGGTGTTTAATGAGTAATGTTGGGCAAATTTTGATATAGTTTCCAAGGTCGTGGATTAATTTTATGAATTTAAAGAAGCTCAAAGCCCTCTTTCCAGAAATTTTAACATACAGAGAGTAATGAATTTGAGCTCAAATACTTTTGAGTTGTGGTTTGACGGCTAAATATACACACACATCCATTCCAAGATTAAAAATTACATTATGAAATAATAAATTTATTAAAGATATAGATAATTAAATTCTTACAGAAACTAATAATAAGGTCAGAATAGTTAGATCTAAGCCTGGGAATGATAAAGCCAAAAAAAATAATGCCCAAAACATATAGTTAATTAAGATTGCAGTGCTACTGACAACTAAATATAAAAAGAAAAAAAAGGCGGCAAATGGTGCTTAAATTGCAGTGGAGAATTGAGTAGCTAAAGCCTAGCCATGACTTGGTTTCAGCAGGCTTGGAAGGAGGAGCAACAGACGAATTGCTTGCCTGGTATGGCGCTCGAGCCATAATATTGAAAAAAAATCCAACACAAATAACAAGATCAATTTATGATCAATTTCACCGCCACCACCCGACCACCGCACCTTCACCCACAACCTTCGCCGCCACCACCACCGGGATGAGAGGGTTGAAAGAGAGAGACGAGAATCTGTGTTTGACAAAAATAGGATTGAAAAGAGAAAGATAAATAGAGGGTATTTTGGTCATTTTATGAAAGAATTAAATATATCTTAGGGAATATTAGATATTTTATGTCAATTAACACTGTGTTTGGCTCCTTTTTTTATAGAATAGGGTGTCATTGTTCAAGTTTGCAAACCTTAAAATGTTATTATCTAAAAATGACCTAAGTTGTGTCTATTTGCCTTCTAAGAAGAGCTGAAGGGGTGTTACCTTAAAAAAAAAAAAAAAAAAAAAAAAAAAAATTTATTACTAGCATTTATTGTACATCATATATGCTTATCTTTATTGTTTGAATATTGGGCCCTCTTAGAGCGCGTGAACAGTCACTATCTCAAGAAAGTAAAGGGCCTGTGTCAGGTGGACCATGTCGCCACGTAGATCATCCCACTGCTACAGGTTCATGATGTCACATTCTGATTGGAGCGTTCACATTCGCCACTTCAAGCCTTGCGGATCAAAGGATTCAGGTCATTTCGTAATATTAACAACACTCGTGTCCATTTATATACGACCAAGTCCAACATATATACTGCTTCCTAGAGTTTTTCCCCGCCTCTCTATTACCAGTACATTATATTGAAGAAAGTATAGACATATATATCTAGAGAGAGAGAGAGAGAGAGTAGAGGAGGGTACGATGAAGCACATTTTCAAGAAGCTTCACATAGGAAGCAATCACGAGCCCAATCGATCCAACGAGACGACTTCAACTTTATCTCCTTCGTGTGCCTCCGATCACCGTGCAGCTTCCGGCCAGAACTCTGGCCAGTCTCCGGCGGCGAGTCCTTCAAGCTCCTCGCCATCGACGGCCACCGTTCCGGTCGGCGGAACAAGCACTCCGGCGACACCGTCTGTGAACCGGCATGACTATTACTCTTCGGAAGAGGAATATCAGGTGCAGTTAGCCCTTGCTCTCAGCGTTTCGGGTCCGGACTCGCATGACGATGCTGAGAAGGATCAGATCCGCGCGGCGACGTTGCTGAGCTTGGGGCGCAATCGGAGCGATTCTGCTCGGGATAGGGACGGCGGCGCTCAATTGTTGTCGCGTCAGTACTGGGTGAGTTCGCTGCAATTCAATTTGATGAAATTGAGTCTTGAATGCACTGAATTGTAGTTTATGAGCTTGTCTTTTACTTAGTTTTTTGTGGTTAATATGATGTAGTGTTTCAGATTGTGGAATTTCACAATCTAGGAAGGGTAAATCAGGTCAAAAAAACTTGAAATTTGGTTAATTTACAGTTAGTCTAGGAATGCTGTAAAGAGAGAAACATCCCATGTTTGGTCATTAAGGTAACTGTCAGAAGTTGGGGTCAATGAGTGCCAAGTCAGTCCAATTTGGTTAACTGAGATCTATAGACAACAAAAGTCTTTACCTTATGAACTGTGACTGAATTTGGTTTCTTTGAACTTCTCTTGAACCCTCCATATACACAATTTTTTGAGAGTTAGCATTTTTCTCTTTAATTTATAGTCCTCACTTTGTGGAACTCAACATGCTTAATTCACATGTACTTTTGGCAAAATTTGTTTTATGAAGATACCAAAGAAAGGCCTCTCTGTTTGTGGGCCACCTAAGTGGGGTTTTATTCTTTTGTGGAGTAGAGTCTTGTGGACAAACATAATGGTTATTTTGCACATTGCTGCAGAATGGGGAATGTAATAATATAGGTTATACTGATAGGAATTTGCAGCAATTCAGAAATAGCATGTTGTTTGAATTTTAATTTTAACCACTGTTATTTAGGGCAAGGCTTGGTTGGTGCAGCAAGAGAAGCATCAAGATTGCTTAATTTCATCATTATATCCCTGTCTTAATCCCATATGAATGGGATTGGCCAAATGAATTCTCTCTCTCCAATCTTTTCTATTGCATGCCATTTCCCCTAATTTGTTTAATCTTTTAAAGTCATTTTTAATAACCTCAGCCCATGTTATTTTTGGACGTCCTCTCTGTTTCTTAATCAGGGCTGCTCAATTTGTGACTGATTTTTTTTTAATCAAGTTTTTCTTTAATTTGTATGTATAAAATTCAGTTACATGAGTCTTATTTTTGGGGTTTCTGAATTTCAGGATTACTTTTGCATCTGCTTTTAGGTTTAGGAGTTTGGAAGTCTAACAATTTAGGCAGTGTTAGGTATATGAGTCTTGTGTTGACAACTTTCTACTCAAAACTTAAGTTGTAACATGTCAAAGAGTCTTTAGTTTGTGCAGAAGCAATTTATAAAGCACAGGGGTACGGATGGTATATTCGTTGGTAATATGTCTAAGCGAGTCAGAAGATTATCGAGCTTGCTGCTTTCTTTTTCTCGCGGATCAGCATGCCGTGGTGAATCATTACCATAGCTCTGATATGTGAGAGTACCAGCTGTGATATAGACCTAGAGAGGAGGTGAGTATGTCTTTGGAACGAGCTGTGATATGTATATATCTTTGTCTCTTATCTTCCTTTTTCTCCACTGCCTTGGCTATATCGCAGCTCTTCCTCCTCCTATTGTGAATTGTTTGTTCCAAAAATCACCCTGCCGAAGACAACAAGGTTTTAATTTTTCTGTTTGAATAATGCTACCAAACAAAGGCATGACCTTGGCCACTCCGAATCGATGAAGACTCTTTTGGAATTTTGTCACATATTAATTGTGAGAAGAAGAAGATGGAGTTACATGTAAGAGGGAGAAGAAGATGGAGTTTTGTTTTGAAAATGGAGCTTCAGTTTGGGTTGGGTTAAGTCAAGAAGATAGGTGTGATGCTCACTTATCTGGCAGTTTATATTATCAATTACTTAAAATATGCGTTGCTCATTGTGAACTTATAGAATGTTGGGCTCATGTGAACAGAATTACATTAGTACACCCTCCCCTTGTTGCTAAAGTCATTTGAATTTGATTTTGTTTAATCTTTCTTGATTCTTGCGTGCTATAAATTTGCTGCATTAGCATGTTTTAGAGTTTTGACATGGTTTTTGGATTTTAATGTGGACAATGCTTGCGTATAGTTTTGGGATCAAGGGATTCAACAGTCTAGGTGTGATAATTTGGGCAAGACTTCTTAAAACATGCATAAATATATCCTGAGTGCGAAGCTTTTGACTATAGTCATTTAAATGACTCATTCTTGAATCTTGCGTGAACTTATTTTATTTTATTTTATTTTTTTGATAGATAAGAAAAATTTCATAAAAATGCTCAAATGGGGAGCACTCCCAAAACAGACAACCGCCGTCCATGACGACACTATAGCTTTAAGCTATCAACAAAATCCGAAAGACAATCCACTGACATACAATCCCGCCCATTTATCCAAAAGAATAAGAAGAAAGTATACTATACTTAATAGCCCAAATAGGAGACTCCACACCGTCGAAGTATCTCCTATGTCTCTCTCGCCACAAATCCCACCATATACACAGGGAGTAGCCCTCCAAGCATCTCTGACTTGGCTTTTCACTGTACACCCTCTCCAAGTCTTGAGCAAGTCGACAGTAGATTCTGAGAACACCCATGGAATACCAAACACAACCAAAAACAAAGACCAAACATCCTTTGCCACCAAGCAATGAATAAGAAGATGGTTGACAAACTCCCCTGTCTTCTTACACATGTAGCACATGTTAACCACAGCCTGACTTCTTCTTCTAAGGTTATCAATAGTGAGGATGTTTCCTAAAGCAGTTGTCCACAAGAAAAAAGCTACCTTCAGTGGTGCTTTCGTCCTCCAAATAGATTTCCAAGGAAAAGCGGGGCCAGGAAGCTCCACCATACTAAAATAGAAGGACTTGACATCGAACACCCCTCTCGAGGAACCCACCCACACCATCTCATCCATGCCCACCCGGACCACCACCTGGCTATAGATGAAAGCCAGAAGATCTGTAACCTCCAATAGTTCCCAATCATGGAACTGTCTACGGAACCGCATATCCCAAGTCACCCTTCCATTATCAAGGTGATAATAATTAGCAACTATAACATCTCTATTCATAGCAATCCGGTAAATTTGAGGGAACCTACGGGCCAAAGCCGAATCCCCACACCATGTCTTCCCAAAACCTGGCATTTCTTCCACTTTGAACCTTGAACCGAATCCTTTTAGAAAATTCATCCCAACCTCTATGGATAAGTTTCCAAGAGCCCATACTCGCTGGGAATCTAACCTCCCTAGACTGCCACCCACCATCACCCTCCCCGTAACGACAAGAGATGACATGCCTCCAAAGCTTGGTCTTCTCTCTGCCAAATCTCCACAACCGCTTGCCCAACAACGCCTTATTAAACACATCCAGTCTTCGAATGCCCAAACCCCCCATTTTAATAGGGGAACACACTTTATTCTGGTCAATCCAGTGATACTTGAACTCATCTCCTAAATAGCCCCACAAGAACTTCTTCTGAGTAACTTCTAGTCTTCTAACAATTGTCTTGGGCATCGGAAAAAGCGACAAAAAATAGGTCTGAGGCTTGAGAGTATGCTTTTCATAAGAGTAATCCTCCCCTCTTTTGACAAGTATTGTTTCTTCCAACCTGCAAGTCTCCACTCAAATCTCTCAACAATCGGATCCTGAACAGAAATTTTCCTCAACGAGGCTCCCAAAGGGAGTCCCAAGTAGGAGATTGGAAAAGAGCCAACACTACATCCCAGTGTATCAGCCAAAACTTGAATATCGTCCGCCACCCCAACTGGGGCAATCTCACCTTTTCCAATATTTATCTTCAAACCAGAATCCAGAATTTGACGCCCTCCAACAAAAGCATTATGAGAATTCGAGATTCCCCATCAAGCACTCTCCTCAGTCGAATGGCTAGCACTTACACAATAATCTTATACATAGCCCCAACAAGGCTAATGGGTCTTAAATCCTGTTCCTCAATTGCTCCACCCTTTTTTGGGACAAGAGTAATAAATGAAGCATTGAGACTCTTCTCAAACGATTCATGCAGGAAAAAGGAGCCAATTGCCCCCATCACCTCAACCTTCACCACCTCCCAATTATGCTGAAAGAAAGCTAAAGTAAAACCATCTGGTCCAAGAGCTTTATCCTCATCACCGCTCCTCAAAGTCACCAACAACTCCTCCTCCCCAAACGGCATCTCAAGCTAGTCTCTATCACCATCCGAGATAACTGCAAACTCAAGCCCATCAAGCAAAGGCCTCCAAGAAGCAGTCTCCTCTTTGCATTTGGTTGTGTTTATGGCTTGAAAGAAATAGGAGGTGTTTCAAAGGAAAGGAGACTCCTATGAGGGAGTTAAAATTCTCTATTATTAGCACTCTTTTTTTTTTGGGTTATAGGGAGATATTGTAAATCCATGGAGGAGATAGTTGATTTTTTGGACTCTCTGAGAGTTTAGAGGCCCTGTTAGGCCTTGTCTATTTTCTGAGGGATGCGTTCCCCTTTTGAACCCTTCTTTATTCAATCTTTACTTATCAAAAAAAGAAAAAAAAGAAAAAAAGAAGCAGTCTCCTCAAAGAGCTGCTTGAAAAAAGACACGAATCCATTCCGGATATCATCTTCCGCAGTAACCGTAACCGTAACCCCATTAAATCAAATCCTCCCAATGTGGTTACCTCTTCTATGAGCATTAGCCATTCGGTGAAAAAACTTCGTGTTTCAATCACCGTCCTTGAGCCGGAGGACTCTAGACTTCTGTCTCCAAGAGATCTCCCCCATCTCCACAATCTCTTCAAACTCAACCTTACCCTCCTCCCTTCTGCTCACATACCTACTACTAAGACCTTCCTCACCCTCTTTCCTATCCAAAACTGAGATTTCCTGGAGGATTCTGTTCTTTCGCCATACAAGGTTACCAAACACTTCTTTGTTCCAAGTCTTAATATCACTCTTCAACGACCTTAATTTGGATGGCAACTGGAAACTCGGACTGCCCCTAACCTTATAGCCTGTCCACCAAATGCGAACCCTATCTTTGAAGTCATCAGTCCGGAGCCACATATTTTCAAACCGGAAAGGCGATCTGATCTCCCTTTCCTCACCCCTCCACAATCAAGAAGAATAGGAATATGGTCCGAAATAGTATTGGGCCAAAGCCACCTGAGACACATCAGGGAACTTCTCCTCCAAATCCCCCGAAACCAAGAATCTGTCCAGCCGTGACAACGTTGGTGATTCCCGTCTCAATCTTGCGTGTACTTGAACTGTACATGACATGGTTTTACAATTCTGTGATTCTATATTATTTTTTTCTTCGTCTGGCTTTAGATTTGGAATTTAACAGTGCAGGTGGTGTTGATTAGGGTTCAACGTTGGAGTTTTGGTTTACTAACTGTTAAGTTAGGCAAAATATGAATTCATGCGAAGCTGAAAGCTCTAGAGAAAATCACATGAAACACTGGAGTTCAGGTATTTATTACTGTTTTGGTGGTAAGGTGGAGTTACTGGAGTATGCTTGCATGTGGTCTGCAATGGAGTTTAACAATCTGGGTGCTGCCAAGTAAAAATGTTAGAAATCTGTATTACTTGCTAACAACTGAAGCACAATTTAGTTAATGTGGATAGAAAAGTAATTGAAGTGCTAATCATGTGAATGAATTGATTAAATTTTGTTCCTTTAACCTAGTGTTATTAAAGGCACAAGGCGCACCAAGGCGCTTGAGGTCCATTGGAGCCTAGGTGCACGGCGAGGCGTGCGCCCGAGTGAATTGAGGCACACAATTGAAAATTTAAACTACCATAAAAGCATTCATATGTCACAAGTCATATCAATATTCTAAAAATTAACATCAAATATAAAAAAGTAAATCCATCAACTATATAAGCATTCAAGCACCATAAAATAGAACACAAATTTGTTTTCTTGAAATGCAAAACGGAGCACACAAAGAAATAAATCTATTAACAAAAAAAAGAAAAGAAAAAAAAACTGTTAACAAGAAAAGGAAAAAAAATTAGAGACAAAAGAAGTAGATGAAGAGATAGAAGTAGATGAGAAAAGAGTGTGTTAAAGAAGAAAAAGGAGAGAAAATAGAGGCCAAAAATTAAAAATAAAAAAGACAGAGAGAGAAGTAAACAAAGATGAGAAGAGACGAGTAGAGGAGAGGAGAGGAGAGAAGAAGAAGAAGAAAGAACTGACATGGCTTCGTTGTTCGTCTCTACCACTAGGGCTTTGTCGTTCATCTCTACCACTAGGGCTTCGTCGTTCGTCTCATAGTCTCAGTCTCACTCTTTCTATGTTCGGTTGACACTTTGACTTTCTTATTTGTTTATTCTTTTGAACAAATCTCTCATATGCTTAGGCTTTCTTATTTGTTTATTAAGTTGCCAAAAGTATCCTTTTTGGCTTAAGAAATAGAATAATCATTTAAAAAAAAAAAAAAACAGGGAGGCGCGTTTGACAAATAGGACGAGGCGCAACCGAGGCATGTGCCTAGTAAACATTAGTGCGCTTAGGATGACAACAGCCGCTAGACTTGCGCCTTGAGCCTGGGTGCGCCTTTAACAACACTGCTTTAACCTTTCCTGAGTTTCTTGTGAAATGGGTTTCACGTATTCAGGGATTTTATTGGATTGCTGGTGGCTAATAATGAGTAATTTTGCACGTGGTTCTAAGGCTGTAATAGTTGTTATTTTAAAGGAAAACATCACTAAAAAAGATAAGACTTCTTTACTAGTCCATGACATTTTCTTCTATTTGATTTCTGATTGGGCAACATCATACCTTTATCCTGCAACTGTCACTTAAATTGGCATTGTGATTCGCTTATACTTTCACTTCATAGTAAATGTGACTAATTTTGTCATGGTGATTTTATTTTATTTTATTTTGATAAGAAGACATGGTGATTTTTTGGGGGCAAATTTGATTTTTAGGAACAACAATTTACATAGCTGTTGGGTTGTATGATCAACAACACCAATAACTTTGATAACATCACCCTCTGTTGGGATATATTTGGTTTTCTTATTCCTGGGCCTTCAATTGGTGTTGAGCGCGGGTAGTAATGAAGGCTTGCCTGACTGTCACTGACAACAATAGCATAAACAGGTTGGCTACCTGCTTTATGTTCTGAACCATTACAAGATCTACCAGTTAGGTGGACATTGGGCTGAGACCTGCTGAGTTTTTATCTTTGTTTCTTCTTCTTCTTCTTCTTTAATTCAATCTTACACTAGTTTTTATCTTTGTTTGCCTTCAATTGGTGTTCAGCGCGGGTAGTTGTGAACTTCTTAAACTAGTTTACCTATTGTAATGAAGGCTTACCTGATTGTCAGTGACAACAATAGCATAAACAGGTTGGCTACCTGCCTGCTGTTCTGAACCATTACTAGGTCTTCCAGTTAGGTGGACTTTGGGCTGAGACCTGCTGAGTTTTTATCTTTGTTTCTTTTTCTTCTTCTTTAATTCAATCTTACACATTGCTTGCTGATATCTTGATTGCATGTGGTTTGGTTTCACTTCATGAAAATGTCCATATTCTACGAACAAATATTTCAGTTACCAAAATTCTAATTGGGTCGCAATCCTTATTTGTTTATAAGGATACTGCATTCAGCTCTTTCCAAATTATATTGACTTAAGGACAATCTAGATGTAAATGGTTTATTGATTACTGGTTATTACAACAAAATCTTTAAAACAATATGAGCAGTAACCATTTTTCAAAGTGAAGAAATATCCTGACAGAAGTGTTCCCTTATCCACCGATCTTGATGTCAATGAAGTTATTGGTGTCGAAATGAGTTTTGGAGAGCAGCTGTGGGATGCTCACTTTCGTATTTAATTTAAATCAATGTTGTGTACCGAACTAAAAATGCGTGCTGTGTCTCTAGCAGAAGTGGGAATGGCCAAGACGAGTTTGAGGACTGCTCTCCTCATCTCCAAAAGTGTTACAAACATGACAGGATGAAAATGACGTAACTCACGCAATGGTCTTCACTGGTGTGTCCCAATTTATAGGTCAAAACACATTTAGTGGGATTATGAATAAACAGAAGGGAAGAGGGAAAACTTTACAGCTTTGTTTGGTTACTTATGGTGCATTAAATTTGATTTTGGTGGAATGATTCTTGGTTCTGCATGTCCTGAATTCTACTGCATGACATTGATTTTGGTGGATTTTACTATTTTTATTGGTGGTTCAAGATTATTTTACTAAATTCTAGTGCATGACAAAATCTTTCTGCATGCCCTAAATTTTTTTTTTGTTGTTGTTGTTGTTGTTGTTGCTATAGTGTTGAAATTTGAAGCAACTTAAATAATTGCTGAACTTTGACCAGTTTTTGCGAGTAACTTGATTTGACCCTTAAACATCAATAACTTTTGAGACTTCATATTATGGTCGTGCCATGCTTTTTTAAGAACAAGTTCCAATTTGGAGCCACAAATGGCAGAATTTCTCAATAAATCAGGTGGATATGTTTTCTTTGTTCGACATACAAAAGATGTGCTACTAGTGATGCTATTCACAGACTCTAGTTTTTCTTAGATTTTTTTTTTTCCAGCAAGACTGTTATAATTTTTTCATGCTTTAGCCTTTAGAATTTTTGGTTTTAAGTTTCCGAGGAACGATATTATCAGAGTATTCAGAAAAAAATTGATTTACATCTCATTCTCTGTGATTTCTGCATGGTGGATCATTTTATAGGTTGGGTAGCACCTCTTTCTGTTTCTTCAAAGAAGTTATTATTAATATTTTAATGGTTGTCTATTTTAGACAGTCTTTTGTGATACTAATGATTACGAATGCTGTGTTCTACATCTTGAACTTGCCATGCCTCTTTACTTCTTTTGGATATAAATTTTTCTTGGGCTTCCTGTCAAGCAAAGCATGAAGTGTAGAAATAGGCAAAAAGAACAAAACAACTAACAAAAACGAATGTATGTGGTTCAACTGTAATGGCCACCTCAGATATAACCAAATTCCTCAACCAAATTTTTATTGGACAAATAGGAAGTCTGCACAAGAAAATCTCAAAAAGAGGAACCTAATTTAATTAATAATTAAAGGCACATCCTAGCAGAGTGAACAATGAAAAAAGGGGTTTAAGCACTGATTGGGGAAAGAAAAACTTCTTCCTGACAAATTGGCCATAGATTGTTTCTTAACCTCTGTACTTCTTGTCTCTTATTTCTCTCTCTTTCTCTTTCTCTGTCTCTGAAATGGTGCAATATAGGACTAGGAGGCACAAAGAAGGCACTGCTAAAATGTGCTAAAATAAAAATGATTTTGGTACATTTTAAGAATGGCCTGAATCTTTGGGACACTTTTAAATAAGTGTTAATTACAGAAATGTAGTATTTTACTTTGCTGTCACTTTGTCAGTTATTTATATAGTGGGAAAAATAATTATTCTTTTCCTGTTTGGTTTGGCTTGATTATGTTTCTGTTGCCACCAGGATTACAGTGTCCTTGACTATGAGGAGAAAGTGGTGGATGGTTTTTATGATGTATATGGGCTTTCAACAGATCCTGCAATCCAAAGAAAAATGCCATCACTCGCAGATCTTGAAACAACCCCTGGGAGTTCTGGCTTTGAAGTCATAATAGTTAACAGAGTGATTGACCCTTCCCTTGAAGAGTTGGTGCAGGTGGCGCACTGTATTGCACTAGACTGCTCTGCTGCTGAGGCTGCTGTTTTGGTACAAAGGCTTGCTGAACTAGTTACTGACCACATGGGTGGGCCAGTCAGGGATGCTAATATCATGTTGGCAAGATGGATGGAAAGAAGCACAGAATTGCGAACCTCTCTTCACACCAGTGTGTTACCCATTGGTTCCTTAAAGATTGGGCTGTCACGTCACCGTGCTTTGCTTTTCAAGGTGAGCTATCTGACTATCATCTGTCAGTGCTCTCTCTTGGGGGCCAGAGATGAATCAATGTATTTTATTGATGGCTGTTAGGCTTTTAGGAATTTTAGGCTAAAAGGTTTAATGGTGTTTTAAAGTATTAGATAGGTAGTGTTTTCAAGAACTTATATCATAAAAATATCTGGTGCTAGCAAAAATGAATTTTTGTTTCTCATTTGAGGGTAGCTCAAGCATGGTTATAGTGGAATCCATTGTGCTTGAACGTGTGGCTCATTTCTTTTCTTTTTAGTCTTTCCTTGATAAGTTAACCTATGGCCTATTTATATGGGTTATTAAACACCCCTCTTTCAGCCCAAGTTGTAAGTTGAAAGCTCATGATTCTGCATGTGATGCAGATATCTGAGCGTTAACCTTGGGATTTGTTGGTTCACTTTTAAGAAGTCCACTTTCATAATTTTACTTCTAAAAGTTGACCCCTTCTCAGAAATGTCACAAGTTTAGTTATTGTGATTTTGTTCTTTCTTTGTTTTCCTTTTTTTTTTTCTTCCCCTTCGGAATATGACTCTTTCCAAGTTCTTTTGTAGGGAAGTAAAATTCCTAAAAATTGTTCAGACATGCATTTTCTGCTCACATAATTTATTAAAATTGTTAGAGGCTTGAATTTTTTTTGAAAAATTAATTCTGGCAATAGTAACCAAATAGCCTCTTAGGGACTATTCACAAATTTTGAGAATGGACCAGAATGAGAAACTTCATGTTTTAGAGGATGCAACTGAACTGCCTTAAAGATAAAAGAATCCCACCAAACAGTAAAAACGGACATTACTGTGTTTGTCTCTGTTAATTGATACTGTTGAGAGGGGTGGACTGGGTACATACTTAACCCTTGATATTACCTGTATAATGTGACAGCCCTCACGTGTGGCAGTTCAAGCTTTTACCATTGCACCAAGCAGTGACCCCTAATCCCCCCAAGCAGTGGAAGTTCTGAAATTAGTCTGCTGATACTCAGCTGACTCGTCTTTTTTTTTTCCAGAAGGCCACTGAGAGTCTCATCCTGAATAATCCTGGATAGGAATGTGAGGTGGTTTATGAGTAAGGTCACTTATGATGGCTTTTATTGTTATTTAAAACTTTGTCCTCAGATGATTTTTATAGAATAAAGACTGATTCTCTCTTGAGTGGATTACATAAATCTTAGTCTACTTGGTGCTCTTTGAGTTTGAGAAACTGCCCCTTGTCTCAGACATGTGGATGTTCTATCCAAAGAACCAAGGAACACACTGATTGAGTTTTCATATAAAGGATTGCAGGGGTTCGAAGGGCTGTAAACATATTTTTGTTTAACTATTGGTTTTGCTTGGGTAAGAACAAAAGATAATCGGATTGAGTGGGTTGATACGATAGTGAGTCATACAGTCACCGATAAACTACACATATATGTATATTTGCATCTGGTATACATCTGGTGATATATATTCTGATTTACCGTTTTGTTTCATCAAATTAACATTGGAGCTTTATTGCTTTGAGACATAAGTATTAAAATATGTTAGGTCACATATAATTTTTCTTGATTGCCTTCCCATCGATTGACATAATTGAAAACTATGTCCAACTATTTTCTTTTCTTATAGTTAAAACAATCCCTATTATTCATATCTGGCAAATTTACCATGTTCTCGCAATCTACAAACTGGGCCACTGGAAGACTATGCTTTCATTTCCCTTGTTTTCTTGAATGCAGGTTTTAGCTGATACTGTTGGAATACCTTGTAGACTAGTAAAAGGTAGTCATTACACTGGCGTTGAGGATGATGCTGTCAACATTATAAAGTTGGCAAATGAAAGGTAAGGACTCGAGTTCTTTGTAGGTTGGTTGATTATAATCTTTTCTCTCTCTCTCTCTCTTCTTCTTCTTCTTCTTTTGTTTTGTTTTGTTTTTTGTTTTTTTTTTCAAGTCATTTTGGGGAATCCTCACATCAGGGTGCACCTTGAGGCGTGTTCCATAAATGATGGAATATTTATTCTGATATTATTATTTTTTTTTTTTTTTTTTTTTTTTTTTTTTTTTTTTTCCATTTACTGAAAAAATATGAGCAGTCACTCAAATCTTAGTCATCGAATTGTCATTCCTGGATTTGATGAGCAGTGTTAATCAGCAAAGATGTGCTTTTTGGTTGGTTGATGGTTTGTCCATGGTTGTAAGGAACAATAATATTTCTTAATGTATACTGGTTGGAGGATTTAACTTGGCAAAACAGAACCTCGGAAATAATGTCCCCTTGGTATAGAAAATTCAAATTATGATGATTTCTCATAGTAACCCAAGTCAAGTAGGATTTAGATGTATATTTGGTGACGTAAGGGCAGATACCAGTTTTAGTTTTTCTTTGTTGTCTGGGTGGGGGCCACTGTGAAGGAAATTTTTTTGCATTCTTAGTGACCATGTAGATGCGTCGAAGTGGTAAATCTTGGCTTGAGAGGCATATTTGTTAAGGGAAATCCTGCCTCTGTCAACTTGAACCAGAGTGTTATTTAAGATCCCTGCAGTTATTTGAAATTAAATCTATGAAAGCTTAAGATATATTATGGGGCAGTTGGGGTGGGGGGGTGTCTGTTCAGCAGTAAGGAAGAAAGGGGTGGAAATAAAATAGGAAGGAACAAACTTCCTTTGTTCGGTAGAGATGATACAAGGAAAGAAAGGATAATAGGAGGATGTGTCATCCTTCCTTTACAAATTTATATCTGTCCAAAAATGAGCGGAAGAGGGGGGGAAGAAAAGTGGATTATTATAGAAGTTTTAAATTAAATACTATCCTAAATTACACAAGTTTTAAATTACAGTAATATCTTCTATGAATTACAATATTATAGATATTACTGGATGTAATGGTAAAACAATTTAAAACTTTTCTTTCCTTCTCTCATAACGAACATAATAAATTGTGAGCTTATTCGCTTCTCTTCCATCCAACTGAACAAAAAGAGGGAAAAACACAATCTCTTCCCTTAGGATGTTTCATCCATCCCTTCTTCTCTCCCTTCCGTCCAATTATTTTCTTTCCTACCGAACAGAGCATTAGTGTTGCTAATCTTTGCCTTCCCCTCTCCCAATTTTTCTTCCTCTTTTTGTTAAAGGCAGCTCCAAGGTATAAAAGATAAAATATATATCTCTATGTTATTTTGGTTGGCCCAAAATTCTTGTATTATTTGAATTGCTATTTGTAAAAATTGTTTAGAAAGGCTTTGAGATAACAATTGAGACATATTGAGATGTAATATGATCTCCATCAGTGGTTGATTGGGTGTGTGAAATTTATTTTTTCCTATTGGTAAATAAGAAAAAGTTTCATTACCATAAAAAGAGGATTTACAATATGGATCAAAATGGGCTCCTGGATAGGTGACACAAAAGCTGAAGAGGAAGAAACCTAACAACCAAAAAAAGCACTCTCACATGTAAGAAGCTAGGGGAACAAACAATACCACCTCCTACATCTTCGAATAAGAAACAACAAACTCGAGTGAGATAGAAGGTTTAGGCAATTTTATTGAGTGCCTTTACCTTTGGTTTGAATCTTCAATGGAATCCTTAGTAGAGAGACAAGAATATAGAGGTCCCTTCTTGAGGAACCTCTTTTCAACAGGTGTTGCCTCTTTTGAAGCTAAGATTGAGGTCAATTCAAAGGAAGTATGAGAGTTTAACGTGTTTGTTGATGAACCATTAGCCCTTTTAGGCGCTCTTCTATTTTATCCTTTTTTTTGATGAATAAGCAAATTCATTCAAAAAAACGTTCAAAAGGGGAATGTGTCCCATAGACAACAAAGGGAGCCTAAGGTCCCAAAGAAGAAATAAAATCAATCTTCTCCTCCGGTGAGGAGCAATACCTATCTGAGCCCCAAAAACATAAAGATGAAATAAAAGCAGACTTAAGAACAACAATTGAGGATTCCTTTCCTTCAAAGGATCTATTGTTCTGCTCCCTCCACAAACACCACCATAAACACAAGGGCGCCATCCTCCAAATCCCACGAGCATGACCTCCCACATAGCACCCTCTCCAAGCCTCCATCAAACCTCTCGTAGATCGAGGCATAACCCACGAAACCCCAAACATTCCTAGCAAAAGACACCAACAATCCAAAGCCACTGGACAATGCAACAGAAGATGATCCACTGATTCCCCATTGCACTTGCACATACAACACCAATTAACTGTGATTTGTCTTCGCCGCCTCAAATTATCCAGCGTCAAAATCTTGCCCCACACCACTGTCCAAGTAAAGAACGCCACTTTGATCGACACCTTACATCTCCACACTGATTTCCACGGAAACATAATCCCTGTATTATCTGATAAGCATCGGAAATATGATCTCACTTCAAACATTCCCCGAGAAGCAGGCACCCAAACAAGCGAATCTCTCTCCCTGCCACGGATCTCATGCCGATACAACCAATCTAGCAACCCACAAATGTCATCCAACTCCCAATCCTGAAACGCTCGCACAAATCGCACATCCTAAGTAACCCTCCCGCTATCAAGCTGATAGCAGTCAGCAACTGAAACATGCCTATTAATAGCAATCCTAACCAATCTGGGAAATGCACAACCAAGAGTACAATCACCACGCCAAATATCCTCCCAAAGCCGCACATTCCTACCCTCTTGAACTCTGAATCTGATGTGTTTTGAAAACTCATTCCAACCTTTCCTAATGAATTTCCAAACTCTGACACCAGCAGGGATCCTCACCAAACACGAACACCATCCTCCCGTTTCTTCCCCAAACCGGCACAAACTAACCTTCCTCCACAACCTATGACGTTCCACTCCGAATCTCCACAACCACTTGCCAAGAAGAGCCCTGTTAAATGGCACCATCCTCCTTATCCCTAAACCTCCGGCCTGAATCGGCCTACAAACCTGCTTCCACCGAACAAGATGATACTTAAATTCTCCTTGAAGTCCACCCCATAGAAAATTCCTCTGAAGCCTCTCAATTGAATTAGCAACCCCAACTGGTATCTGGAAGAGGGATAAAAAATAAGTGGGAAGACTTGAGAGCGTGCTTTTCAAAAGAGTGACCTTCCCCCCTTTCGATAAATACCGCTTCTTCCACCCTGCAAGTCTCCTCTGAACCCTCTCAATCACTGGATCCCAAACACCCACATTCCTCGAAGAAACTCCCAAAGGTAAACCCAAATATGTAATCGAAAAGCTACTGATTCCACATCCAAGCACATAAACTAACTCACCAATGTTCTGCACCTCTCATACTGGAATCAAGGCACTCTTCCCTACATTCACTTTCAATCCTGACACTGCCTGAAAGCAACTCAGCACCGATCTCAAATACCTCATCTGGGAAACCTCAGCCTCACAAAACACCAACGTGTCATCCGCAAACAATAAGTGGGATATCTCCATATGATGAGCATCACCCCCACCCACCCTAAACCCCTTAATAAACCAACCCACCCCCCCAACCTACTAAGAGCCTCCATAACGATAATGAACAAGAAAGGAGACAAAGGATCCCCCTGGTGCAAGCCTTGCGAGCTACCAAAGAACCTGGTCGGAGACCCATTAACCATCACCGAAAATCTGGCTGAAGATATACAAGCCTCAATCCAATACCTCCATTTATCCCCAAAACGCATTCTATCCATCAAATACAACAAGAACTTCCAATTCACATGATCATAAGCTTTCTCAATGTCGAGCTTACGCAGAACCCCTGGGACACCACTCCTCTTCATTACTAATCTTGAAGGTAAAACACCTATCCAATCCGATAGGAGCACAACCCTTTGAAGTGGAACTTTAAATATCCAATCTTCTTTAATCCTAACAATTTGTTTTTGAAGCTTTGAAAGTGGTTGGGAAGTGTTCTCAGAAACCATACAACTCCAGGAAGTTGGTTGGGAAATGATAACTGGATTCTTACCAGCTTGCTGGTTTTCTGGCTGGGCCGGGTTAAGAAACAGGGTCAGTCCAGTGTATGAGATCTACGTTCACGTTGGAGACAATAGGTGATAGGCACCAGAAGCATCCAATGTAGCTCTTCAGCCTCTTCAGATTTCTTCATGTGCTCGCCTAGCCAGATGACATAGATTCATATATATATATATATATATTGAATTTACTAAACTTCTTGATATATAATCTGCTAAATCTTAGGGCAAACCTTCATATCATCACATCTGAATCCTGCCTAGGCTGCCATAAACCTGGGCTGAGGTGGGGAATAAATATTTTAGCATACTGCGATAATTTGTGTGCATGAGTGTGTGTTTATATTCCCTTATTCTCATTTCAACATAGAACTGCTACTGCTAGTGAAAGCACACATGCAATTGTTGGAAAACGGATCTATATGTGGAAGCTTAATTTTTTTTCCACATTAGTTGCAATGAATCATGATCTAAGAGAAGAGTAAGAATTCATCACCGCAATTCATAGTATTGCGAATAACAAGAAATCTTGACTTTAAGTCAATAAGCTCTTCCTACCTAGAACGCAGTAGGTACAGCAACCTGACAAGCTTACCGGATTGACTTCCCAAAGTCCAAATGCAGTGAATTTTGGATATGTTGTAGCCTATCTAGTTAACTTCGATTTGCCACTGGTTTTAGGTCAATCCAAAACGAAGGAGTTATGGCCGTTTTAGCGATATCTGCGCAGAGGACCGCGAACCTGCATTTTTTTTTTTTTCTATCTTTAACCCTCCTTTGAATCTAGCTTCAATGGATATTTGTGGCTACCAAATACCTCTAAATCTTCACCTCTATGATATCAACAAGCTATGGAAGAGTGGGCTCCTAAAGAGAGTGTAGGAAATCCTAAGAAATCGAGAGAGAGAGAGTGTGTGTATGAAGAAGATTGTATGTTCCTTGTTCGTCTTATGTGAACCACACAACACAAATATATAGAGGCTTAGCCACCCACCCTAGGAGCTGCTCCTCTAGTCTTTCTCTAACTCCTAGTTCCCTTATAACTCTATTGCTTGTTTACCAAGTTGAGATAGGAGTGGGATCTAGATGGGCCTATTCATAACTTGGCTTCCAATGGGCCTCTTTTTTTTTTTTTTTTTGATAAGTAAAAAGTATATTAGAAAAGCGTTCAAAAGGGGAACGCGTCCCTAAAACAAGAAGAAAAAAGACCTAAGGACCAATAACATCCAAAAGATCAAAGAAATCATCAATCGAGGAGCATGCGCTTCCTCTTACATAACAGAACAGAGAACGAAGAATATGAATTTCAGATTTGCTAAAGACGCTTCTTTTCCTTCAAAGTTTTTGTTATTCCTCTCACGCCATAGACACCACCAAACACAATTAATTAATTAGTCAAACCCATGACCCAATTAATTAGTTCATTTATGTATTTTTAATTCCGCTAAATAAAAATAGTTTCCCTCCAAGTAATGAATAATTATAAAATTGTCATGTGTTAAATTACAAGTTTACCCCTCTATGCTAAATTAGGATATTGACCAAATATGGCTAAATTGGCTAATTTATCCTTTATTGTTTTTGATTAATTTTATTTGATCACTTAAAAGCTTTCCTTGAGAAAATAATATATTAAATAAATAAATATATAAATAAAAATATTTGATCAAAAACTACTGGTGCCGGATTTAGTGATCAAACTTAATCAAGCCAATAATAAATCACCTCACATAGATGCCATCTTGAGAATAAATGTTTTCATGCCTATAATTAATGAGTAGCCAAAATACCCATATTTTAGACCCTAGGGCCCACTTAAATAAATCAAAGTTAACATTTTTTTATTCAGACACAAGTCCACTACACACTCAGACTTAAGAGCAACTTGCTATAACACGACTATAAGGAGAAATTAGAATGCCAACACTTGTAATTTCTGCAACTTATACTTGATCCTGTTCAATGTGTTGTACACATCGACATGTATAGTTCTTATATTTATAATGACTTAGATAAGTCCATCCATAAATAGAAACTTTAATGTTTCATTCTCACAAATGCGAACATATATTTATGAAGATGTAACATCTATGATTTATATCTCCTATGTATATCGCCTATTGCAGCATGCGCATAACTCACATTACATAATTAATGTAACTTTGACTCAACTCTAGAGCCAACCAATACAAAGCATTCACCATATTTTTTCCTGAATCGAAGTATTCACCATATATGTTTGTAAAGCATGTAATGTAAAATAAAATCAGATTCTATAAATAATAAATGTCAAATACATAGCCAAATTGGCTTGAAGGGCACACTCAGTCCCAACAGCAATAACAAATAATTAACATTAACTTTAATTAGAACTCCAAATTATTCCCATAAAAAGGTAGAATACCATAGTATTCATGTTATGTCAACACAATAAACACCACAACATCCTGTAAAGCACTTCATATTTTTTCTTGTGTTCATGTAGCCAAATAGACCTGCTTATATATATATATATATATGCACAACTCGAATTTACTAAACATGATGAAATATATGTTAGGAAATATTAGGGCATGCCTTTTTCAATATTTGGAGGAACTTGGATCAAAACTTGAATCCTGCTTATATGGTATGGATGACAACAGGGCAGGTTTAGGGCTTCCCAGAGAGGATTTTCCTGCCAAAGCTGCCATATACCTGATGCTAGGTGGGCAGAGGCAGTGTAAATAAATGTGGCATGGGGCTCTATTGATGTTAAGGTTCCTGATGGTAATTCTTGTTGCCTGTTTTAAAATGGAAAAGAGGAAGTTTATGGGGTATTTTTGAGTTCGAATGATGTTTTACTGGTGTGGATAGATGGTGTAAACACCATTTTGTACTAGGCTGTATGACTTTGGCCTAGCTTTTGTATTTTCCAATAAATCTAACTTAACTTTTGTCCTTGCTCTAGTTTCATCAATTAAAAAAATATCAGCTGGCATACACGTGGAATCTCATTCTAATTGTGTTCTGTTAGTTCAAGCTAGCATAAGTCCATCTATAACTAAGAGTAAAAGATATGAATGTATAGCTGATCCTTGAGATAAGTCTACATAAATTTTTATCCTCATGGTTTTTGAAAACTTATATATGGAGATACATATCTATATACAAACACACAGTAACACACACGTATCTCTGTCAAAACTGAATTGATATATTTTTATTATCTCCAGACCTATAGATTTGTGCATCTAATATTTTTCCTTTTCTGTTTGTATTTCCTTATGTATGCATATACATATACATATCTATATACAAACCCACAGAAACATGCACGTATCTCTATCAAAACTGAATTGATATTTTATTTTTTATTTTTTATTTTTTATTATCTCCATACCTATAGATTTGTGCATCTAATATTTTTCCTTTTCTGTTTGTGTTCAGTGAGTTCTTGGTTGATCTCATGGGAGCCCCTGGAACACTTATACCAGCTGATGTCCTGAGTGCAATGGATTCATCCTTTATGTCATACAATCCAAAATTAAGCAAACTTCCAACTCTTCAGTCAACTAATGACTCTGAAGTTGTTTTCACAAGATCCAATCAACCACTTGGTGAATGTGAAGGCAGTGGTCAAAACTCTGCAGTTGAGAATAGTTTGCCATTGGGTAGAAAGCCATATGGTGACACGGGGGCTGGTTCTTCTAGAACTAATAAAGTGATTCCTTCTAATCAGTTGAATCATATACCCTCATTGGCAATTGGTAGTTCTCTGTATAAAGGGGGTCGGGGGCTCAATGCAGTAGGTGATGGCTCAAGGATGAATGTTAATGTGGTTCCATATAGTCAGAATACTGCAGATGATTCTAAAAATCTCTTCTCCGATCTTAATCCATTCCTGATAAAAGGATCTGGTACTTCTTCTGTACAGAACAACCCTGAGAAAAAAGTTGACAAGTTACGAAAGCCAAAAAATGACCTTGATTCTGGTCAACCTCCTGTCCCATTAATGTGGAAGAATAATTTTGCTTGCAATGAGGTCCCTAGGAAAAAAGAGTATGATTTTGTGGAGGGCCTCTTTCCAAGAAATAATTGTGAAGCCAATGATTATAATGTGTCATCTTTACCTTCCACCAGTTCCACTGCATCATCAGAAGTCTATCCTGATGTTTCCAAGTTACCTAATATTTCGTATCCCACCCATCGTGATGGTGTTGATAGGGATTCTTCTATTTTTAGCAATTGGGTGTTGGCACCAACTAAGAGTCAGTTCAGCAGGTTGTCTTCAGAGGAGGATTTGAGCATTCACCATAAGGAAAAATATCACAGGGATGAGGCCTTGCAAAATGATGAGTTAGACATGGCAAAAGAACATGGAAAGAATGTTGTCATTGTAAATGATCATAGGAAGCGCGCACAAGATAGATTTATGGGGACCAATTCAAAGTCAAATGGCCAAGAGAATCCAAGCTCGATAGCTGCTTCTGGTGCAACTCAGGTTGATCCAGTAATAGACGATGTTGGTGAATGTGAAATTCCGTGGGAAGATTTGGTACTTGGTGAAAGGATTGGACTAGGTAAACTCATGGCTGGGCAGACTAATATTTTTGCGGTGCTCTTTCTGAAATTGATCTTCTTGAGAGTTGTAGTAGCTCTTCTTCTAGTATGCACTTTGATGAATTATTTCTTTCTAGCTTGTCAAGAATGTTACAGGATATCAATAATTTTTGAGAAATCATACTTTGGAGGGTTTTGAGCTCTTCACTTTTCACCATCTGTGTGTGTGTGTGTGTGTGAAATATAAAATAATGTTATTACTTCACAAGAGATGAAAGGCAGATCTCTATCTGGTTTCTGGTATATCATTATCATCAGCGTTATGATATTATTGTTAATGTTATTGTTGGGTTAGGTTATGCTTTGTCGATCCATCCACTACAACTTCTTTTTGGAATTTTCTGATTATTGTTTACTTTTTTTTTTTTCCTTTTCTAAAGGTTCTTATGGAGAGGTCTACCATGCTGATTGGAATGGCACTGTAAGTTACTAGAGTTACTATTATCATCATATTTCAATTCATCATATGTGGAATCTATTAAGGGAAAAGAACTACTGATAAAAAGATAAGGGGAAACAATGTGCTTAATTATTATTTTCTCCTTTGAATGTGTTAATTATTTAGAATTTTGTCATTGGTGCCTAAGAGTGAAGACTTTAAGCTCCATATTTGATCATCTAAAATAAAATAGTATGTACATTTTATTCATTTGTATGAACTATAAATACTCATCTAGCATAAACCTGAGTCATCCAATATGCTTACAGACTTAAGCAAACAAGTATCCTTCTGCCCCTTCTCAATGTATTCCTTCTTAGGAGTCCATTCCCCACGATAAAACTAACTTATTTTAGAAACCTAAATCTTAGATTCAAAATGATCTTCATACTTTTATAATATAGAGAACCTGATTTCTTTTGGTACCTTTTCTTCTTCTTCCTTTCTCGGGCACCGGAGTCTTCTACTCCGGTGACCTCATCTGAAGCTTTTCTCTTATCATTTTTGTTTTGTTTGTTTTTTTCTTGCTGAGCTTTCGTATGAAATCTTTTCTTTAGATCACAAGGCTGCCTCGTCTATTTTAGGGGGGTACTGTCAAGGCAGCCAATCCCCACAGAGGCCCCTTAATCTATTTGGATGGTGGTTCTACTGAGAAACGAAGGGAGGATCTTTTTTATTTTTTAAGTGAAATGAAGGGAGGATCTTAGATTGTGTTTGGTGGGAAAATTTGACAAAGATGTGGGTGACGGATCAAATCCCAGAATGGACCTCACACGCACACCTCTTGTGGAGTTGGAGTGGCGCCATTGCCTGATTCTCTCTTACTTTTTTCTCTTCCTTCAAGCGCTGAAGCCAAAAGGGTGCTGAGGGAGGGATGTCGAGACTGGGGCGATGCCACACTTCGTGTGGACAACTGGTGTTCAGGGTGGGATGCTCTGGTGTGTTGAAGGAGAAAGGGGATGAAAAGGGTTGTTCTTTACGGTCTTACTCTCCATCTTTGGTGCCATGCTCTGTTCGTCACTGTTGGGGATTTGTGCAGAGGCTTTGTTTTGGTGGAAGCCGATGAGATGAGAAATGCTGAACTTGTTCGAATGACGGTGCATGACGGAAGTGAATTCCCGCCGGTGATCTTTGTCCATGATGAACGTCTCTGTTATATAGTGGCTTTGTGGGAAGAGTCTCTTCCCGAGCTTGTGCCAGTGATTGAGAGTCTGGAAGGAGGGGATGGTTTTCTTTTCTGTTGCTGGAGGATTGGTGGAAAATGATGTTGAATGGACCGAATGGAGTCGAGGAGTTTCATAGATGGAGGGATGGCCGGATGTTGTAGAGGGATCTTAGTCGCGAGCAGTGTTGTTAAAATTGCACCTGGGTGCGCGCCTAGGCACGAGGCGCACACAGGCGCACCTTCAGCGCCTGTAGTTCCCCCAAGCGCAGCGACCTCCAATAGGCGCGCGCCTTGGGGCTTTTTATGAGGCGCGCCTCATGTATTTTTTGGTGCTGTTTCCTGTTACGTGCTTTACTTTTATATATTTTTTGCCTTTATAGTTTATATATTATATACTTACAGGCTTTTAGTTTCCAAAAGCCAAAAAAGGTAGTTTTGTCGTCTTGTGATTTATGAAACAAATGAATATAATATATAAAGGAAATTCAATAGTCAACAAATCAAGCAGAAGAAAGAAAGACGTGAGGGAGTGGGAAAGAGGAGAGAGAAAGAAATCAAGGGTTATCAGTTGCAGCCACAGCCTCCTTCCGACGAAGACACAGCCGACGAAGTGAGGAACCAGGTTAGTTCAGTTTTTTTTTTTCCTCCTCTTCTATTCTCACCTTCTCTTCTTCTCTTCTCTCTCTCCTCATTTACTTCTTCTCTATCTTTGTTTTTTTTTTTTTTTTTCTGTCTTTTTCTTCATCTACTCCTCCTCTCCGAGTCTGTCTCTCTTCATCTATTTCTCTCTGTATTTCTTCTCTGTTTTTTCCTTTACTCGTGAACAGTGTTTTATTATTATTATTTTTCAATCTCTGTTTGGGGGCTTGTTTCATCTTTCTTTATTTCTTTTCTTCATCTACTTCTTCTTCTCTTTCTGGGGCTCTGTTTTTATTTTTTATTTTTTTTATTCATCTACTCCTCCTCTCTGAGTCTGTCTCTCTTCATCTACTTCTTTCTGTATTTCTTCTTTGTTTTTCCCTTTACTCGTGAAATTTTTTACTTGTGCGCCTCACATCACTGAGGCGTGCGCCTCACCTTGCGAAGGCTTGCTTTAGGGCGACCCTCTTACTCCATTTTTGTTTATCATTGTCATGGAGGCTTTTAGCAGTTTGATGAGGAGGGCAGAAGAGTTGGGTTTTATTCGAGGGTTTCTCGGTGGGTAACAGTCCTAATAAGTTGGTTCTCTCTCATTTGCTTTTTGCGGATGACACTACCATTTTTTGTGATGCAAGGGTGGATTAATTGAGGTTCTTGAGATTTATTTTAGCCCGTTTCCAAATCGTGTCGGGGCTGAAGATCAAGATTGGGAAGAGTGAGTTGGTTCCAGTAAGGGGAAGAAGAAATTCAGGACTTAGCTGATATTATTGGGTGTGGTGTAGGTGCTCTCCCAATTTCTTATTTAGGGCTCCCTTTAGGAGACATGTTGAGGACTTAAATTTGGGACCCCATGGTTGAGCGATTTGAGAGGAGACTTGCAGGGTGGAAGATGCAGTACCTTTTGAAAGGGGGGAAGATTACTCTTATGAAGAGCACCCCTTCAAATATTCCAACCTATTTGAAAATTAGATGAGATCGAAATTTATTGTGGGGTGGCATCGATGATGAGTTCAAATACCATTTGGTGAACTGGGAGGTGTGCTCCCCTCTTCAAAAGGGGTGCTTGGGGATTCGAAGATTGGATTTGTTCAACAAGGCATTGTTGGGCAAATGGCTTTAAAGATTCATGAGTTAGAGGCCTCGTTTATAAAGGAGGGTCATTGCTTGCCGGTATGGGGAGGGCGATGGTGGGTGGTTGTCTAGGAAGTGAAATTTCCAGCGGGTATGGGTATTTGGAAGTTTATTCGGAAGGGGTGGTTCAGAGTTCGGAGTGGGAGTCACGCCAGATTTTGGGAGGATCGCTGGTGCGGGGACATTGCTCTGGATTTCGTAGGTTACCTTGGCTCTTCAGGATCTCTTCAAGCAGAGTTGCTGACTGTTATCAACTTGATTGCAGGAGGTTGACTTGGGATGTGCAGTTTTGTAGAGAGTTTCATGATTGGGAACTTACGGAGGTTGCTGAGTTCTTAGCTTTGCTTTACAGTCAGGTGGTGGAGGGGGCGGGATAGATGAGATGGTGTGGGTGGGCATACCAAGAGGGGTGTTTGTGGTTAGGGCATTTTATCAGTCTTCGAGAGATCCCAGCTCCTTCCTTCCCATGGAAGGCAATTTGGAGGTTGAATGCCCCCCTTGAAGGTGGCTTTCTTTCCGTGGTGGGCTGCTCACGGTAGCACTCTTACACTCAACAATCTTTGGAGGAGACAGTAGATTGTGGTTAACTGGTGTTGTACGTGCAAGAAGATGGAGGAAACAATGAATCAGCTTCTTCTTCACTGCCAAGTGGCCAGGGATGTTTGGGCTATTTGCATTTGGCATGTCTTGGGTGTTCCCAGGGTCCATGGTGGATATGATTGAGGCTTGGAGAGGGTGTCCAGTGGAGAGCCGAGCCAGGGATGTTTGGAGGGCCATTCCCCTTTGTCTATGATGGGGTTTGTGGCGTGAGAGAAATAGGAGATCCTTTGATCGAGAGGAGACTCCTATTTGGCGTCTCAAATACAGTATATTGTTTACTTTATTTTTTTGGGTTCATGGACGTAATTGTAAATCTTTGGGGCATCTTTTGGATTTTGTGGATAGCTTAAAGCTATAGTTGTCGCCTGGGGCGTCTTGTATTCTTTTGGGAGCGCTCCCCTCTTGAGAACCTTTCATGAAATCTTATTTAAAAAAAAAAGGGTCTTCCTACTTCTTTTACTTGATTTAAATTTGTTGAATTACTTTGGCCAAATTCAATGCCTCGAGCACACAATCAAATCATAAGTAAAACGGTAAAGGCAATTCTGAGACTTGATCTACACAATTTCGTTGTTGATAGAGACAGATGACTACTGCTATGTTGTGCTGAAAAATCCACGGTCAAGTGCATAGAATTACATAACTCACGAACTACGTGTATGCAGATGTGAATAAGAGGCAGATGTGAATAAGAGGTATATCACTAACATCTCACTAAAAGATGCAAAGTTGAAAATCAAAACTCTCTTGTATGCAGAAGTGAGTGTATATTAATTCATGTACAATTGATTATGTAGTCATGTCTTGTAATGCATTAAAAACAAGCATTTATAGCTGAAATAATGCATATAATGTGCTCAAAAGACTTATTTGTTAAATAGGAAGTTGGGCTTCAACCCAGCAATCGGATTTGAGAAGAATACAGTTCAAATAGAAATCCTGTTCCAGTTCGAACTCAGTTGCATCGGTAGAAGTCCTAAGCTTGAGCCAGTGGTAGAGTTTCCGGACCAAGTTGCATCAGTAGAAAACTTAAGTTGCAGTGGTGGGAAACTGGAATAAGTTGCACCAATGGAAAAGAAATTTTTGCCTGCTGAACTTTTGAAAATCAATTAAAAGTTATATAGGTGCAGTTTTTACTGGAGTAACTTGTACCATTGCAATTCCCAAGTTGTACCAGTGTAACTCTACTTCATTATTGAAAAATAAAACAAATAATGTCCAGTAGTTTCCCAAAAACACTTCAGTGCATCCTAAAGTGTGCACAATACCTTATAAAACAATTTTGTGCTTGCTTCTCAAAAAAAAAACAATTTTGTGCTTGCCTAAGCATATGTTTCCTAAATGTGAGTAGATTTGCTGTTCAAAAGCACTTTACCTCAGCAAGGCACCTTCATTGGTCTTTAGACTCACTCACAGACAAAGGATTCAAAAAATAAAAACGAAAAAGGCTTTTGAAATGAAATTTGCTAACTCTTAGGCACTAAGTTCTAATAGGCAAGTATTTTTTGTCGAGCCATTTTTCTTTTTTTCCTTTCAAGTAAAGAAAGTTATTGTTTCAAAGTATGTGTTTGCTGCAAACCATCCACCTAGTTTACGGTTGAATTGTTCATTATACTTTTATGATTGTGGTTCTCTTTCCATTAGAGAAACAAAAATGGCAGGGTTCATTCTGTTTTGGCATTTGCCTCTAATATTCCTTCTCCTTTAGACGGGATCTTGATATTCTGGTTTCCTTTTTCTACATGTCAAGCTTGAATATAAGGGTTGAACTTCATTTCATCTTGTCTTCTTTCATCTTCTGCTTATGAGCATTCAATTAGACATGGTTTCTTAGAAGACATCTTTTCATAGGTTCATATTCTTCTTCTTCTTTTATTTATTTATTAATATTTTTTTTTATATATTCATCTTCTTTGCAACTTGTTTATATTAAAAGCTAAGTCGTGACAAGTTTAGCAATTGTAAAGCAACAAATATTATGCTTGGCATCCGGTGGGCCGTTTCTAGTATGTAGAAGAGTAACAGGGCTTTTACTTATTGAAAAGTATAAATTGAAATGTCATCTCTAGTGTGTGGTAGACGAACAAAGCCATTACGTAGTGAAAACCTGGTGGGAAGGTATATAGCTTTGATTAAATTATGTAGCTTATGGGTACTTCTGCTTTTTATCTTATCGTCATCTTTTTTTAAAATCAGCAATCTAGAATATTGTTAAACTTGTGCTAAAGAAAATCAGGTGTTTGAATATACTAATTTTCTTCAATTACTACACAAGCACGCACACGCACACTTATCAATTATTCTGCTTATCCGTTTTGTTGATTTCTTCTTCTTGTAATGGCTAGTTGTCAATCCTTCTATCAATAACAATGTCAACCCCGCTTTCTCTCTCTATATAGATATATATAGATTTCTGTATTCATTCTGAAGAGGCTTCACTAGAAGGGCATTAGTGATTTCCTTTCATTTTAACCTTATGTTTGCATAACCCTGAAATAAAATATTGTAGTTTCTAATTCTCTTGATTGTAAATTGTTATTGGACAGGAGGTTGCTGTGAAGAAATTTTTAGACCAAGATTTCTCTGGTGCTGCTTTGGCTGAGTTTAAGAGAGAAGTAAGAAACTAATCACTGATATAAGCATAGCTATGTTATTTATTTTCCAAGAAATCCAGAAAACAAAATTACATTTGTATTTTGATTATTGGGAACGAAAACTCAGCTCTAGGTGTTGCTTTTATATGTGCTGAGCAACGCAAACTTGTTATACCATTTTACTCTATCTAGGGCTTTTTAACTTAGAGCAAAAAGCAAGGATACGGATTCAAAAAACACAGATACGACAGGACATGGATACTGTGACATGGCAAGTGGTTAAATTTTAAGATACGAACACGGTGGGGACATGGTGACTAATATATATATATATGTATATATCCTTTTATATATACGATCCTGTATTTTAACATGTTCAAAGAAGTTATCATATTTGCACTTTACCCATCTTTCTTTTTAAATTTTCTTAAAATTTTCCAACAATTGGATATGCATGTCGGACACATGTCCATGGTGTGTTTGTCCCATGTCCGCATGGTGTCCAAAAGTAAAAAAATAGCGCCCATCAGGAAGAAAAAATATTCCAGACATGTCCATTGGCGTGTCTGACATGCGTTGGACATGGATTCTTTGACCTTTTAGGCATGTCTTTGCTTTCTTACTGAGTATTGGAAATGAAAAGAAACTATGGTTGGATCGTGGTGTATTAGTGGGTCATGTGGTGCTAATGGTACTGGTGGCTATCTTGCATATGGTGCAAGATGTTATGGTACTCATGGTGTGCCAATTTCTACCCTCTGTTTTACTTGAAAGCAATTGATCTGCAGAAATATAATTTTGGTGCTGAAAACTCATTTTCCATAAATATATTTTTTTGGGTGTCGGGATGACATGGGCTAAGAGTTGTGGAGCTGACTTCGGAACTTCACAAGGTTTAATTAATATTTCTGTTTCTCTGCAGCCAGAGATTACTGAAAATCTGGGTTATCTTTCCTTTTCCTGTGTTTGGCAACCAATTAGAACATAATGGAATATATTATTCATGTTGTTATCTTTTATCACTGCAAATAATTCATCAAGCATGATTGACTCTTTGTCTCAGGTGCGGATAATGCGTAGACTTCGCCATCCAAATGTTGTTCTCTTCATGGGTGCTGTCACTCGCCCTCCGAACCTCTCTATTATCACCGAGTTTCTCCCAAGGTTTAGTTTTTTTCTATTCTTTCTTATATTATCATTGTGAGTTGAATTGCCTTAAGAAAAAAAGCATTGGCATGTGGCTTGTTTAATTTGAATAACTGCAATTTAAATATGTACTCTACAACCTGATAACATCATCTTAATTGATTGCAATTATCTGGACATCTTTGTTTTTTCTAATAATATCAACTTGAGGCTCTGTTAGGGTTCGGATAAAAAACGATGAAAAATTCTCTCTTTTGTGTTGTGGTCGATTGATTTGTTGGTTTTCCTGTTGTTAAGTGATCAGAAATCATTAAATCTGGATGGGAGATATCTAGGCAGTTGCGGACTTCCCGTCATGCTATTTTAATTCATGTGCAGTAATAATTACTGGCATTCTTCCTTTAACAGAAGGATCTATTTGGATGCATGGTAGAATCTGAATGGTCTGTTTTAGTGTGTGTAGATTCGAAGGTCCAACACGCTATATTAAGTTTCTACCTTCAAATACCCACTTACTGAATTGTTTCACAATACAACAACAATTACAAAATCAACCAAAGCCTTTTTTCCCCAACTACTTGGGTGACTCGGGTTGGCTACATGGATCTATTTTTACATTCTGCTTTAACATATTTAACTGAATTTGCCTTTTTCAGCAGAAATCATATTTTAATTAAAAGAAAAGGGCAAACCCAGTGCTTGAGGCTCCCACCATTGCGCTGTAAAATCTGCCCATTATCATTAAGCACCATTTGGTATGTTATGACTTGGATATCCAGATGGCTCATGAGAAGCTCTACAAATTATGTGTGTAGGAAACTGGAATGCTGTTGGATGTTTTGGATAATGTAATGGCCTATTAGAAGTCCAAGAAGACTATAGATTATGAAAATTTAACATGCACATTCTTGTGTTCAATGAGTTCTTGAAGGGATCTTAGAATTGTGAAACTGTTAAAGGTTGGTGTTGTAAACTTTATGAATGAAAATTTTAAAAATAGTCCTTCCCCGTCTCTGGTTTAGTATTAAGATGAGAACCCTTTAGTAAAAGACATATACTATGTTAGCAATTGACAAGATGTCAACTTAACTAGACAAAGCTTTATATTAACTATTCATAGTCAGGTTTCATGAATCCTATTTTGCTATTATCCTCTAAAGCTATTTCAATTAAACCACATGCTAGTCTATGTTTCCTTATTATTTAAATACATGTTAAATTTGGTTTGCCTCTTCCTTTTTTTTTTTTTTCACATTACCCTGAACGTGGACCACATCACTATTTCTTAGGATTTTAGTTTTTGGTTTTTGCTCCACATGACAAAATCATCTTCGTTGATTTTTTTCTGCCCCAATTTATCTCCAAGTTCAACATCTCATGTCAAAATTCCTAATTTTATTCTTCTTATCCTGCATATCAATATCCACATTGGGAATTTGGGAGTCTTTGACCATCCTTGTTTTTTTATTTTTTTTTTTATTTTTCCGGGCTAGATGGAAAAAATATTATTAAAAAGAACAATAGAGTACATGGCTAAGAAATGGGGGCATACCCCTACCAGATACAATGAAATTGACAAAGTCCATTACTAAACCAGAAAAGGACTCAAAAGCCAATAATTGCTTTGTGACTTCTTCCGCAGTGCTGGACTTCCCATCATGAAATTGACAGTTTCGGTCACTCCAGATGTTGTGCCATATAGAAGTTGAGAACACCCTCTTACTAACGTTAATTGCTAGAGTAGATCCATTAATACCCATGAACCAATCTGTCAGTTGAGAAACAGATACAAACTGCACATTCCAATTGAAAAGACAAGAAATCCATTTCCAAACTTTTGTAGCAAAACTACCAGTGAAAAATAGGATTTCTCTATGATCAGATTCAGCATAGCACAAATGACACACTGATGCTATGCATATGCTTCTCTTTCTCAGATTAAAAGGAAAGGAAGTCTGTCATGAAAAACAGACAACAAGTGTATGTGACCCTTGGCCTTGATCCATTCCAACATAGATTCAACCAAGCAACTTTAAGTGTCATTCCTGTCCAAAGAGTCGTAGCCTTCTTGAAAGTAAAGCCAGCTTTGTCCCATAGGAGTTAGTCATTACCATCATAGATAGGAACAGCCAGAATCAAGTTATTTAATTGTCTTTAAAATAGGTGAGTTGACAGGAGAGACAGTCCACCTGCCATTTCAAATAAGAGAACTCAGACTGGCATCCCTTCTTAAATTTAGATCCCTGCATATTCTATATGAGAATTTCTGGATCAGTGTATGGTTCTGGCACCAAGGATCATCAAAGAGGCTAATACTGCTGCCATTTCCAACTCTAAAACTGATGTATTGTCTTAAACTGTCTGACTGCCACCATCCTCTTCCAAATGCATGAGCTTGATGCTGTTGGAATAAACATGATGTTTCTTTATTTCCATGATGTTTCTTTATTTCTCTCTTCCTGTCACTCTCTTCTCTTGTGCTCTTACTTTCCCTCTCTAGGTTTCTCTCACTAGTTTGATGGTCAAAATTGGTTGGGGGAGCCCCCTATTTATAAAAGGGCTTGCATAGAGTCCTTCTACCATATTTTTCTCAAGCTGGTAATTTTCGATCGATTGAAGTCCAATTAGTTTGATTGATCCAAGTTCACTTAGGTCACATGTCACCGCTCATTTTCAATTGATACATCTAAGGTTCGATTGATCCAAATACTAATTTTCTGTAAAATACTAAAATGACCATTTTTTCCTTGGATCTTTGTTTATTTGTTGTTCAGTATTTAAGAGTAAATAAGGTTTCAACTTTCCACTAGCCCTATACTCAAAAAAAAATGAAGTTGTTCTGGGATATTACAAGAACACTCCTCTGTAATATCATCTCCAATCTTTCCCTATGAATAATTTAACCTATGTAACAAAACCGTTTGCTTTTGTTATCTCTTCAATGTCGATTTTCATTACTTCTCCATTTATATTTCTAGTTTTGTTGAAGTTATTTTCCATATACCTGGTTTTAATCCCATTTATCTTAAAAAGAGTTTTGTCAAACCTCTAATTTAACATTTTTTCCTGCTTTAGTTTTATCAATTGAATTAGCAAATGATATTCCATAGAGCTTCATCTTGAATGTGTTTTAAATTATCTGTATCAATATTTGGAAAAAAGATTGAGACTTAATGCTCATATCTAATAAAAAAGCTATAGTAATTGAAAATTCATTTTTTTGTCCTTCACTTCTTATTAGTTGTCTAACTCAGTCACACGTCTTTCATATTATATTTCTATTGATGACTCTTTTATACGATATCTCTAGGAACCTCATTATATGTTTTATCTAATTCTATCAAAAGCACATGAAGATTTTTCTTCTTCTTTTTGCATCTCTATAAGTAAATAACTTATTTTGTTGACCTACTTGGTATAAATCCAAATTGCTTTTGATATTGTTGTTTCAAGTTCATAATATATTGCATATTCATGGATATGTATAGCTTTATCATTCAAGTAGTGTGAAATGAGTCACTTGTAACAAGTGCTCTTTGATTTCCAGAGGAAGCTTATATCGGATTATTCATCGTCCTCAATGTCAAATTGATGAAAAGCGTAGAATTAAAATGGCTCTTGATGTGGTATGATATAATCAATCCCATGTTGTTCGCTTTTCTAAATGTTTACATCTTTCTTTATCTGTTTCCAATTTTCAAGCCCTGATTTGCAGGCAAAGGGTATGAATTGCTTGCATGCCAGTATACCAACAATTGTTCACCGTGATTTGAAGTCGCCAAATTTGTTGGTTGATAAGAATTGGAATGTTAAGGTACAATTCCGTTCATTCTTTTGGTATTTTGATGCTTGGCTTGTCATAGAAAATTCCAATTCAAGCTCAAGCTAGAGTTTGGCTTGTTAAGACTGGTGAACTATCCCAAATGAGCTATTTGATGAGTGGAGTGTTGAACTGGGAGTGTACATGAGGTAGCCTGTTTGTTGTTTTAGAAAAATCCAATTCAAGATCAAGCTAGAGTTTGGCTTGTTAAGACTGGTGAACTATCCCAAATGAGCTGTTTGATGAGTGGAGTGTTGAAATGGGAGTGTACATGAGGTAGCCTGTTTGTTCTCGTTTAAGAATGCGAAAAATGCTCAAAATTGGATACAGAGAGAAGAGAATAAAAATGAAATAAAGAGCATGATTATAACATGCTATCCAAATTACTGGTTATTCTGTTCATATTTCTTTATGAAATGTCATTTTTTAATCATACAGGTAGGTGATTTTGGGTTGTCACGCTTGAAGCACAACACATTTTTGTCATCGAAATCAACAGCTGGAACGGTGAGAATCTCAAGTCTGCATTTTTGGATTCATTTGTGGTTTAAAATGCTTCTGCATTTTGTTTCCATGCCCTTTATGTGTCTCTGTCTGATAAAGTTCTCTTTAATTCCTTAGCCCGAGTGGATGGCACCAGAAGTTCTTCGCAATGAACCTTCAAATGAGAAGTGAGTTTCTGGTTTGCATTCCATCTTTACTCGTTCTATGTTTATACTTCAGTGGTACATGTGGTGGTTGCTTTGTTATTGCTTACATGGTTGATACTCCTTCACTTCAGTCTTTCTCCGTGAAGGATCTTTTCTATGAAGCACGGACACGGACACAGGGACATGGGTATGATACAACACTGACATGGTGATGTGGTAAATTTTAAAAAATAGACACGGATACGGGAAGGATACAACAATAAAATAGGAATAATTTTTTTTTATTATATTAAAAAAATCAACTGTTGCTCAATTTTTTATATATATGTTAATAAACTTAACCCATTTAAATTAGGCCCACTATATAGCCCTCCACAGCCCAAATTTCATTTTTTTTGGAATGTTAAACAAGTTGAAAGTCCAAGAGGACAAGCAGGCCCGTAAGGGCAACAAGCCCAATAGGCAACAAAAACGCAATGAAGCCCTAATTATCAGATGGGTGCTGTTGAGATCTGAACCACAAGCTTTAGCCAAAGATAGTATCTTTCAGTCTATCACCTTGGTCCTCTTCAGGCCGATTCTCCCTCATCCCTTCCATCTCTTTTATCTGATTCCCTCCCATCTTTTTTCAGATCTTATCTCTATCTATTGGATATATACATTTACTCACATCAAATATTGAATCCATCGTCGATCTCCACTGGTCTGCTTCTTCTGCATCTTCCGGCGTGTCCTCCGACGTGTCTTACTGGTGTCCGGGCGTGTCCGATGTAGCAAAAAAATATAAAAAAAAAGGGACACAGTTTGAGGGGTGTCGGACACGTGTCCAAGGCTTGGACACACGTGTCCGTGTCAGACGTTTCCGACACCGGCACAACGTCCATGTTAGCTGTGTTGGTGCTTCATAGCTCCTTTTGGTTTGCCTGTATGTGGAAGAAAATTAGGGTTGGGATCTTGAACGTTACAACAAAGCTTTCCAATTCCAAACAAATAAAAGGTGTCATTACCCTGTCGTCCTGGCAATGAGGGGTGCTTGGAGGGAAAAGACTGGAGACACAGTTAACCTTCGGCATTATTATGCACAAAATTGCTGCTGCCTTAAGAAACAAACTTGTGTCCTCAGGCTGCTTGTCTCAGCCTTTACCATTTCACCATGCAATGACTCCTCTAAACAGATGAAGTTCAGCATGATTCCTTAACTTTTGCTCAAAAAGCAAATTGTAATATAATTTTTTATTATATTAAAAAAATCAACTTTTTCTCAATTTCTTATATATGTATTCGAAGGGGAACTTTTACGTGGGGCACGTGATCAATGTATCCCCCGATGTATCATGATTTTCTGGGCCTTTCACGAGAGCCTTGGAATTTCCTGTTGTCACTCCGGGTTAATTTGAAAGAAGAAAGAACTCTATCAGCTGGTTCATAGCCTCTTTTCTTCGAACCACTGCTGCTACCAAAAAAGCTCTTGAACAGCTTTCGAGTCCCACAACAATGGACCCATTCTTAGTTGATCTTGTCCCATTTAAATTAGGCTCACCATATAGCCCTCCATAGCCCAAATTTTTTTTTTTTTTTGGAATGTTAAACAAGTTGAAAGTCTAAGAGGACTAGCAGGCTCATAAGGGCAACAAGCCCAATAGGCAACAAAAAGGCAATGAAGCCCTAATTATCAGATGGGTGCTGTTGAGATCTGAACCACACGTCTTTAGCTGAAGATAATGTCTTTCACTCTTTCACACACGTCTCTTGGTCCTTCTCTTCAGGCCGATTCTCCCTCATCCCTTCCATCTCTTTTATCTGATTCCCTCCATCTTTTTTCAGATCTTATCTATATCTCTTGGATATATACATGTACCCACATCAAATATCGAACCCATCGTTGATCTCCACTGGTCTGCTTCTTCTGCATCTTCTTCTGATATGTCTTCAGACAATCTCCACAGGTTTGCTTCTTCTGCATCTTCTGGTGTGTCCTCCGACGTGTCTTACCGGTGTCCGGGTGTGTCCGATGTAGCACAAAAATATAAAAAAAGGGATAAGGTTTGAGGGGTGTCGGACACGTGTCCAAGCCTTGGACACGTGTGTCCGACACCGGCACAGCGTCCATGTTAGCCGTGTCGGTGCTTCATAGCTTCTTTTGGTTTGCCTATATGTGGAAGAAAATTAGGGTTGCGATCTTGAACATTAGAACAAAGCTTTCCAATTCCAAACAAATAAAAGGTGTCATCACCCTATCGTCCTGACAACGAGGGGTGCTTGGAGGGAAAAGATTGGAGACAAAGTTAACCTTCGGCATTATTATGCACAAAATTGCTGCTGCTTTAAGAAACAAACTTGTGAGTTTGCTTTTTCTTCCCCCTCCCGCCGCGATGAGATAATTTTTAAGGTTTGCTTTTTCAAAAAATTAATAAAAGAAAAAGGAAAAAAAAAGTATTTACTTCTCTTAATTTCCTTCGTTGGATTGATTGAGGCTATGACCTTAAATAGAGCGAAGTAGAAACATAGGATTCATGTAGCCGACTCCAAGTAGTTGGGAAAAAGGCTTGATTGTTGTTGTATTTCTCTAACTTTCTTGCAACCACTTATTATTTTGGCGTGTTGAGAAAAAAAGTTTACTACTGGATTTCAGTGCCTCTATAGTAGGTTTTAGTTTTTGTAAACATAAATGGAACATAATGTATTAAGATTATTTGATTTGCATTCCCAATAGTCTTTGAAGTTTCATACTGAATTACATGGGAAGGTTTGAGTTCTTTTTGCAACAATAGCATATTGCTTTTGTTCATAGAAGATCGCTCTCTGAAGGAAGCTTCTGTTTTTTATACACCATGACCAAATTGGCAATTAAGATGCAGCATTAGTCAAGGCTATTGAAACCAGGATCCTATCTACATTTTTTTTTTTGACAAGTAAAATGTATAAAAAGCGCTCAAAAGTGGAGCGTATCCCAAGGGAGCTACACAAGGCCAAAAAGGGCCTCTAAACTTTTATGGAGTCCAAAAAATCTACAATCTCCTCTAAATATCTATAATTTCTCCCTATAACCTAACAAAAAAGAGTAGTAATAATAGAGAACTTAAACATGGAGATAGGAGTATCCTTTCCTTCAAAGGATCTCTTGTATCTTTCGAGCCAAAGACACCACCAGACACACAATGGCGTAATCCTCCAAACATCCTGGACTTGAGCCACCACTATGCAACCTTTCCAAGCCTCAATCAACCCGAGGTTCTTGGCATGACCCACTGAACACCAAACAACCAAGCATCAAATCCCAGCACTCCCTAGCCATGTTGCAGTGCAAGAGAAGGTGATCCATCGTCTCCTCATCTCTACGACACATGATTCTTTTTCCTCAAATTATCCTTGAGTCAAAATGTTTCCCAAAACAAATGTCCAAGCAAAGAAATCCACCTTTAAGGGGGCTTTGGAGCGCCAAACAGCCTTCCACGGGAATGGAACCTCTAGTCCCTCCGTGAGACATCTATAAAAGGACCGAACATCAAAGTGGCCTTGAGAAGCATGGACCCACAACCAGCCATCAGAATCTCCACTCATGATCTCTTGGCGATAAAGTAACTCCAAAAGACCAACAACGTCTTCGATCTCTCAATCCTGAAAGTGCTTCGTGAAACAAACATCCCAAGACGATCTTCCGCTATCAAGTCGATAATGGTCAACCAACATGGCTTGCCTATCTGTGGCAATCCTGAAAATGCGAGGGAAAGAGAGAGCAAGCGAGCGGTCACCACACCAAACGTCCTCCCAAAAATTGATCCTCCTACCGTCCTTAAGCCGAAATTTGATGTGTTTCGAAAAAACATCTCATCGTTTCGGAATGAATTTCCAAATACCAACTCCCCCTAGAGTATGCACCTCAAGGGAACTCCAACCTCCTCTCCCCTCCCCAAATCTACTCGCTATCATCCTCCTTCAAAGCCTATGTCTCTCCACCCCAAATCTCCAAAGCCACTTCCGGAGGAGAGCCTTGTTGAAAGGCATACCCAAGCCTTTGACAAGAAGCGGACAACAAACCTTCTCTCAGTTAACCAGATGGGAACCCTCCCCAAACAATAGAAAATTCCGCTGCAGCCTCTCAATCCTCTCAACCACGGAATAAGGAATATGGAACAATGAGAGGAAGTAAGTAGGAAGATTTGAAAGTGTACTCTTCAATAGGGTGACTCGTCCTCCCTCGGAAAGATATTGTTTTTTCCATCTTGCCAACCTTTTCTTGAACCTCTCCACTACAGGATCCCAGCTTTCCACCCTCCTCGAGGACGACCCAAGGTGTAAACCCAAATAGGAGATAGGAAACGAACCAATGCTGCACCTAAGAGCCCCTGCTAAAATCGCGATCTCAGGAACTTCCCCAACTGGCACCAAAACGCTCTTTCCCACGTTCACTTTCAAACCGGAGACAATTTGGAACCAAATCAGAACACATCTCAAATATCTCAACTGAGACATATCCGCATCACAAAACACCAAAGTGTCGTCGGCAAACATCAAGTGAGAAATCTCCAACTGACTAGCAGCATCCCTCCCCACCATAAAACCTCCCAGAAAACCCAAGTCCATAGCCCTCCTCAATAGTTTACTAAGTGCCTTCATCACAATAAGGAAAAGAAAAGGGGAGAGCGGATTCCTCTGCCTTAAGCCCCTCGAACTGGAAAAAAAAATCCCGTTAGAGATCCATTCATGATCACAGAGAAGCGAGGACTGGAAATGCAAAATTGAATCCATCGCCTCCATCTCTCACCAAACCCCATCATTTCTAACAGATAGAGAAGAAAACTCCAACTCACATGATCATATGCCTTCTTAATGTCCAATTTACAGAGGACATCAGGAACCCCAATACACAATTTGGAATCCACACATTCGCTAGCGATAAGAGTTGAATCCAAAATCTGACGGCCTCCCACAAAAACGTTTTGAGAGTCAGAAATGACCCAATCCAAGACTCTTGAATCTAAAAGCAAGAACTTTGATAATCAACTTGTAGATGCATCCCACCACACTGATAGGTCGAAAATCCCAAACATCCAATGCCCCCCCTTTCTTTGGAATAAGAGCAAAAAATGTAGCATTCAGACTTTTTCTTAAGATAACCCTAAGCATAAAGAGTACCCGTCACCTCCCCCCTAACCACCTCCTAGCTCTTAAAAAGGAATCTCATGGAAAAGTCATCAGGTATTGGGGATTTATCCCCATTACAACTCTTTAAAACAGTCAAGACTTCCTCTTCAGAAAAAGGCTCCTCCAAACCAGAGCACTTCTCAGTGGTGTCCCCCCCCCAAAGCGAGGGTCTCCAATTAGAGGTTTTTGTAAACAGCATCTTATATCAATCAGCAATCCCCTTGCACACCTCCTCCTCCTCGCACAACAACTCTCCTCCCACCCGAATCCTCCCGTTCTATGGGCATTGGCAAGTCTATGAAAGAACTTCTTATTTTTGTCGCCCTCCTGGAGCCACAAGGCTTTAGACTTTTGTTTCCACGAGATCTCTTCCATGATAGCAATCTTAGCAAACTCTGCTTGGCACTCCAACCTCCTACTCCTCAAGGAGTCCGCAATCTCTGATAAAGTACGATTTTTCCTCTACTCCAGATTCCCAAACACCTCTTTATTCCATGTTTTAATGTCTTCCTTCAAAAGGCGCAACTTACCCGCAAGGGCATGACTTGGAGTGCCAACCACCCCATATCCCTCCCACCAAGACTGAACTTTGTTAGGGAAGCCCTCTGCACGAAGCCACATGTTCTCGAATCTAAAAGGGGACCTTTTACTCCGCAACCCACCACAGTCCAAAACCAACGGAACATGATCAGAGGTAGGTTGAGCCCAAACTGCTTGAGTCACATCAGAAAATTTCTCCTCCTAATCTCCAGAAACTAGGAATCTGCCCAAGCGGGAAAGAGTAGAAGATCTGCCACTACACCAATTAAAGGACACTACCTCCAAAGGGCAAATCAATCAAATGAAAGTCATCAATAAACCCCGAATAAAGCTCCATATCCGAGGTCCACCTACCCCCCGTCGAACTCTCAAAGGGAGAGCGCACGACATTGAAATCCCCTCCAACACACCACGGGAAAGGCCATTTGCTTCTAACTTATCCAAGCTCTTCCTAGAACAAATGGCATACATTATCCTCCGTCGGGCCATAAACACCCAAAAAGAGCCAATGGAAACCATCCTCCTCCAAAGAAAAAGCGCATGACACTGAAAACCTACCCGCCCAAGAATCCATCTAAAAGTAGGTGAAGCATCTTAAGAGTGGGGCTCTTAAGATTCTAGAAGTGTGGAAGATAAAATTCTAATAATAATCATGCATCTTTAAAATTCTTAAAATTCATGAACGGGCTCAAAACTTATGACAAAGATGTAAGAAATTAAGAAAAATATTGGGAATAGTCCCAAATGGTTTTGGAAGTAAACAATTTTATTATTATGAAAAATATTTAATTTTCACCGAACACGAGATGATAAGATGTCGTAGCATTAGATGCAAACATTCATGGATTGTTATTTATTAATTAGTGTACATTTCATGAAAATATTCAAATTAGGTTAAAAAGAAAAATTCTATCTTAAGATGCTTCACCTACTCGTTTTGTAGTACAACCCTTAGCATAGGGGTGAAAACAAAAATGAGTATAAACATTTGTGCAGATAAAAGAATAATTGGTTTGAAACAAAAATTGTGTAGTTACAGAAAAAGAGGGGGATTGAAGTCAATGGCTTGGAGTTGTGTTCTGAAGCAAAAAATTGTCCCCTTATGTGTCACACCTCATAGCAAAATTAGCAACCAAGGAGAGGAAAAAAAAATATATATGTAAGGAGGAAGGTTGGGGGTTGGAAGGAAGCAACATTGAAAAGAAGCAATAGTGTGAAATTGAAAGACCTAAAATCTGAAATATGCTAGAAGAGTGGGTATATGGTTAAAGTGTGAAGAAAATTTGGATATAATTGTCCTAATTAGGACATTTAAGTGGCTTCAGTGTCATTGTATAATGTTGCTCAAGTCTTGAGCCTTAATTTACATAAAAAGGCACAAAAATAACATTATAAGACTATACAATAGAATTGGTGGAATTGGGAACTGGTATATGCTTCCTGCTATCTTATTGGTAAAATTCTACCCTCTAGGTATAATTTTTGGGATCTGGGTAGACTCAATATATATATTTTTTTGATAAGTAATAATTGAAATAAAAAAGGCGTTCAAGAGGGGAACGCATCCCTTATACAAAAGTGGAACTAGGGATTAAGATCCCGAAGAAGCCAAAAAAATAATTAAATCTTCGGAAGAAGAACAGGACTTCCTCTCCACATAACTGAAAAGAGAGCGTATGATGTGAAGTTTCAGAATCGCCGTAGACGATTCTTTTCCTTCGAACATTCTACTATTCCTCTCCTTCCAAATGCACCACCAAACACAGTGGTATACAACTCTCCAATAATCACGAACAACGCTACTCACACGGCATCCTCTCCATATACAAATCAAATCCTTAGGATAATGAGGCATAACCCAATGCATATCAAACAGACAAAAGATAAGATTTCAACAATCCCTCGCTATAGGACAATGCATGAGAATGTGAGCAACTAGCTGACCATCTTGTTTGCACAAAAAACACCAATTAACAAGTCAATTGCCCCTTTTCTTTAGATTATCAATCGTAAGGATCTTACCCCAAACAACGGTCTAAACAAAGAATGCCACTCTAGTTGGAGCCATAGAACGCCAAATAGTCTTCCATGGAAAATCAACAATATCGAAATCAGAAAGACATAAGAATAAGGAATGAACTTCAAAGAGACCATAGGAAGAGGGAATCCATGTCATAACATCACTACCTCTGCCAACTGCCTCCTGTCGATACAACAAATCCATAAAAACACATACCTCATCCACCTCCTAATCCTGAAAAGAGCGTCGAAATTGCACGTCCCATGTAATCCCTCTACTATCAAGTTGATAACAGTTGGCTACGTAGGCAAGTCTATCAATTGCAATACTGTATAACTTGGGAAATAAACGAGATAAAGGCTGGTCTCCACACCAAAGATCCTCTCAAAAGCGTACACATCTACCATCACGAACTTTGAATCTAATATGAGTAGAAAAAGCATCCCATCCCTTCCTTTTGAATTTCCACGCCCCAACTTCTCCCACTAGAGAAACCGGACGAGTAGACCAACCACCACTCTCTTCCCCATATCGACATGAAACTAGCCGTCACCACGGGCGATGCATTTCCCTTCCGTACCTCCACAGCCATTTACCCAGAAGAGCTTGGTTAAAAGGGACTAGTCTTCTGATACCAAGACTACCAAACTTCATTGGCTTGCAAACTTGTTCCCAATTAACAAGGTGATACTTAAATTCATCACCTCTTCCACCCCAAAGGAAATCCCTTTGAATTTTCTCGATCCTATCAGCAACAGATCATGGAATTTGGAACATAGATAAAAAATAAGTAGGAAGGCTCGATAAAGTGTTCTTTATAAGCGTAACTTTCCCTCCCTTAGACAAGTATTGCTTTTTCCATCCCGCTAATCTCTTCGTATACCTATCAATCACAGGGTCCCAACACCCCACTGTTCTAGAGGAAACCCCTAAAGGCAAGCCCAAATACTGAATTGGAAAAGAACTCACCCTACACCCAAGGACTTCCGCTAAAGAAGAAATATCCTGAACAACTCCAACCCGCACAACCACACTTCTAGCCACATTAACTTTCAGTCCAGAGGGGTAGACTCGATATTTTAAAATCATAATCGACATCGTATCCCTTTAAATCACTGTAGATAATTGGCACTATGATGTTGTCATTAATGAAGTATGCTGTATGCCACTATTGTAGATTTTATGTTTGTATCTCTTCTAGTTCAGTGGTAATTTCTAAGATTTAGTGTAGTGTGAAGCAACAATCTCATCCATTCATCACTACGCCACTAGTTGAATTTGCGACAGTTCATGTTCAATCTGTATTTCTCGTGCTATTGCTCTTGTAACAAATCAGTTTTGGGAATTTATTTTGTATTGTGCTTTCTGAGAGTGCAGGTGCGATGTATATAGCTTTGGCATCATCCTGTGGGAGCTTGCCACTTTGAGATTGCCTTGGAGTGGGATGAATCCGATGCAAGTTGTGGGTGCTGTTGGTTTCCAAAACCGTCGCCTTGAAATCCCCAAGGAAGTTGACCCCTTGGTTGCAAGGATAATTTGGGAGTGTTGGCAGACGTAAGCTACAATATATCAATACCCTGTACACACCCTAAATTCAATTCACTGTGACTAATTCCTATCCTGTTGTGTTCAGTGATCCAAATTTGCGCCCTTCGTTTGAACAGTTGATGGTGGCTCTAAAACCCTTGCAGCGGCTGGTCATCCCTTCACATTTTGACCAGCAAAGCTCGCCTCTACCACAAGAGATCACAGTGAATTCTACACCGTGAGATTCCCAACTCCTCAAGGAGACAATTCTGTTTGCCTAGGATGAGAGTGGTACAAGAACCACCAGAATGAACGAGAGAAGCATTTTAAAGCAATGGCTAATGTTCAGAGATGGGAATCAATGTGTTATTTGGCACGGCAGTCCAAAGACTGAGGTAGCCTTTCTTGTACAGTGGGTGTGCAAAGTTTTTGGTCCCCTTGAAATGACACTTTGGGGTGTATATATTTTATAAACCCTTGAAGCATATTGGTAAATTGTCATTAAATTTGGAAATTTTGTAATTTTATTTAAAAAAAATTAAATTCATTATAATTCTTGATTAAATGGATGTTCATACCTATTGCTGTTCTTAGTGAGGCTTGCTAGTATTAGTGGTTGCTGGATTTATAATGTAAACATAGAAGAGATGGAGGTGAAATATGGATGGGTGCATTCTGGTAATTAATTTGTGCTGCATGTGTTTAACGGTATCGTGTACTGAATGTGCCGATAGAGAGTTGTGTCTTCGTGTATGTTAAATTTGTATGATTCATTTCCATGTGAACTCCTAGGTAGATTTATTTAAGGAGATTACAAATAATGACATTTGAATTCCTAGATCGATTCTAATGTGAACTTTTAGTCAGATTCATTCAAATAGTGACATTCTCCCATACACTTTGAACTGTCTCATTCAGGACTGCCCTTGGCCTTGACCAATTTTTTTTTTGAATTTTGAACAAATATTTATAAAATTTTGAACAAATATTTATATAGATATTTAGAAGATCTGTAAAATATTTCTTTACAACATTTGGAAAAAATATTCAACTCTTTTTTCTTTGGAGTGTGGGAAAAACATTAGATTAAAGAAGATTCTACCATTCACACTACAAGTCATGTTTTGATCACGAGTAGATTGAATAATTTTTGATTGATTATTTATGCTAAAAACAAGTAGTTGGAGTAGTTTACTTTCTTATTATTTGTTGTATAAATGATTAATTAAAAGTAGCAGGTTAACGAATCAGTACAAAAATAATTTTTTCTTGATTATAATAATTCAGTTAAAATTTAGAAAAAACCCTCCTTTATTATTTATTATTTTGGTTCAAAATATTTTCTTATCAAACTAATGTTAGTAGTTACCCCTCAAAAGTAACGTAAAGTAGGTTCCTGCTTTGCAACTGGTTCATGATCAGTATTTGCACAATTGTTGTTCCCTCTCAATTTTAATTGCACAAGAATGTGATGTACTCATGTGCCCAAAAAAATATCTTTAAAAGTTTATTATTATTATTATTATTTTTTAAAGATGGTAACAGAGCACATCGCCATGTCTCCAAGATAGATACTCAAATGACATTCTAAAGAAAAATGAGTGGTGGAGATTACAGATTCCATCAAATTAATTGAAGAAGTCATGGCACGTCTCATTTTAATTATGAATAAATTATTTTTATTAAATTTTAATATATATATATTTTTTATAAATAATTTACAACAATTAAACAGCAGAAAATAAAAAGATATTTTTCAAATTAATTGAAGAAGTCATGGCACGTCTCATTTTAATTATGAATAAATTATTTTTATTAAATTTTAATATATATATATTTTTCATAAATAATTTACAACAATTAAACAACAGAAAATAATAATGTATTTTTTAAAAAATATTTTGATTAGAGTGAATATAATTTTGTAGACATAAATGAGGATTTTAGCCTAGGACAATGCTAGTGGCACATGGAGGACGGTAAGTTAGCACTTTTACCAATGTTATACGGAGATTTAAAATCGGTAGTTGAAATATTTTCTCCTATTTTAATTGATTATTAATAAAGTAGGTCCAACGAGCTTCCAGTCAACCACTCTTTTTCTTGCGCTTGGTTTGATCTTTCACTCTTTCACAAACCCCCATCTCGATCTCGATCTCGATCTCGATCTCTTTCCTTTGATTGCATTACTTTCACAAACGATCGATCCATGGACATTGCTGGGATCTTTCTGGGGCCGATCATTCAGGTGCTGCTTGACAAGTTGATGTCTCCCGCAGTGTCGAACCATGCCCGTCGAGAGGGAATCGACGGTCAGTTGACGAAGCTGGAGAAAATGTTGCCTGATATTCGTGTTGTTCTGGCTGACGCAGAGGAGAAGCAAATGACGAATGATCCAGTCAAATTGTGGATGGAGGATCTCAGCGACTTGGTTCACGATTTGGATGATTTGTTGGACGACTTCACTGGTGAAACTTTGCGTCGCCAGCTGATCACAACAGAATCTCAAGCTAGCACCAGTACTAGTAGTAAGGTACGAAAACTGCTCATCCCAACTTGTTGTAAATGCTTCACTCCTAGTGTTGTTATAAAGCTTGATCACAATATGATGTCCAAAGTAGAGGAAATCACCATCAGGTTAGAAGACATTGAAACCCGGAAGAACAGCCTTGATTTGATAGGGAATGTTGGAGGGATTAGGTCCACCACCACAGTGAGAGAGAGACGGGAAACGACTTCTTTGGTCAATGAATCTGATGTTTATGGCAGAGTACAAGATAAAGAGGGTATAGTTGAGGAGTTGCTGGGGGATAAAGTTAGTGTTGACAGAGTCTCTGTCATTCCCATTGTGGGCATGGGGGGTATTGGCAAGAGCACTCTCGCTCAGATGGTCTATAATGATATACATTTAGAGGGTCATTTTGATCTCAAGGCATGGGTTTGTGTTTCTGATGATTGTCATGAATATGTTCTTAGAGTGACCAAGGCAATTCTTGTGGAAGTCACTTTGAAAACTCATGACTCCATGTCTCTGAATATGCTTCAACAGAAATTAAAGGAGAACCTGTCCGGAAAGAAATTTCTGCTTGTTTTGGATGATGTTTGGAACAAGAAGTATGAAGATTGGGAGCTCCTAAAACGTCCTTTTATGGTTGGAGCACCCGGGAGCAAAATTATTGTCACAACTCGCGACGAAATCGTTGCATCAACCATGACTTTGTCTCCGGCTTACCCTCTAAAAGGGCTATTGGAAGATGAATGTCTATCTTTATTTGCTCATCACGCACTCGAGAGAGAAAACTTTGATGCACATCTAGATCTGAAAGGAATTGGTGAGGAAATAGTGAATAAATGTTCAGGCTTGCCTTTGGCAGTAAAAACGCTTGCAGGACTCTTGCGCACTAAACGACGCCAAAGTGAGTGGGTAGATATATTGAATAGCAAGATATGGGATTTGTCCGAAGAAAGTGATATTCTTCCAGCTCTTAGATTGAGCTATCATCATCTCCCATCTCATTTGAAGCAATGTTTTGCCTACTGTGCAATATTTCCAAAAGACTGTGAATTTGACATAGATGAGCTAATTCTGTTGTGGATGGAGGTAGGTCTTTTGCAGCTATCAAAAGAAAAGAATCGAATGGAAGATTTTGGCTATAAATGCTTTGATGATCTATTATTAAGGTCATTTTTTCAACAATCAGGTGGTAGTAAATCACGGTTTGTGATGCATGACCTTCTAAATGATCTAGCTCTACATGTGGCTGGGGATTTATGTTTTAGGTTGGATAAGTTGGAGGGTGATGAGAAATTTGAAATTCCTAAATGAGTTCGGCACTTATGATTTATTCGTCAAGAATTTGAAGTCCTTTCAAAGTTCAGGCATCTTTGTAAAGTTCAACATTTGCGAACTCTGTTGTCATTACCAATTCATAAGTTATTCGAGTGGGAGCACTTCCACTTAGCAAACAAGGTTTTGTCTGATATTTTGCCAAAATTGCAGTGCTTAAGGGCGTTATCTTTGTGTGGCTATTCCATAACTGAGCTACCAGACTTAATTGGTGATTTGAAAAATCTAAGGTATCTTAATTTATCCGGTACTTCAATCAGACGATTACTTGAATTAGTGACTACTCTCTACAATTTACAAACCTTATTATTGTGCAATTGCAAATATCTTTGTATGTTGCCGCCAAACATTGGAAATTTAATTGAACTACGACATCTTGACATTTCTGATACTGAGAAATTACAAGATATGTCATCAGGGATTGGTAGGATGACAAACTTGCAAACATTGTCGGCGTTTGTGGTGAATGAAAGTAATGGATCAAGATTAATAGAGTTGAGGAATCTAAGTCTTTTGCAGAGGAGTATTTCTATTAGAAATTTGCAAAACGTAACAGATCTTCAAGATGCAAATGAGGCAAATCTAAGGGCTAAGCAGTACCTTGACGAATTGGAGTTGGCCTGGTGTAGTGAGTTCATCGATTTTTGAAATGAAAACCTTGAAATGAATGTACTTGAAAAGCTACAACCTCACAGAAACTTGAGAAGGCTCGTTCTATGGGGTTACAAAATTTCCAAGTTGGATAGGCAATCCATCATTCTCTAAAATGGTCAACCCGACTCTTGAAGGCTGTAGAAAATGCAAATCTTTACCTCCACTCGGGCAACTACCCATGCTCAAAGAGCTACATATTCAGGGCATGCATGAAGTAAAAAGTTTGGGGGTTGAGTTCTACGGAGATCGTTCTCCTTCGAGACTTCCTTTTCCATCGTTGGAGGTGCTGAAATTTGATGACATGCCGGCATGGGAAGAGTGGTCTTTTTCTGTTGGTATCGAAGAAGCTGCAAGACAATTTCCTTGCCTCTGTGAACTCACTATACTTGGTTGTCCCAAGTTGATTAGTGTTCCAGTTTTAAGACTTCCCTTTCTTCAGAAATTGTACGTCCAAGAGTGTCAAGAGGTGGTGCTAAAAAGTATGGTTGATCTGACCTCACTAACCAGCTTGGAAGTTGTTAATATAATAGGGCTATCTCAGCTCAATGAAGCATTCATGCAGTCCATGGTAGCTCTTGAAAGTCTGGTCGTTAAGAATTGCAACCAACTAGTGGCTTTGTGGCAAAATGGGGTGCCTTGCATTAATCTTCAGGAATTGGATATAGAAGCTTGTGTGAATCTTGAGAAGTTGCCAGACGAGCTGAATAAACTCACATCTCTGACATTTTTGAAGATTAATGGGTGTTCGAAGCTTGTGCACTTTCCCAAAACAGGGGTCTCGCCCGTGCTTAGAAGGCTTCAAATAGTGGATTGCCATGCATTGAAGTCCCTGCCTGACGGCATCTCTGGTCTTGAAAACTTGGGGATTTTAAGATGTTCATCTTTGAAGTCTTGGCCCACCGACACGTTACCCACCACCCTTAGGTTTCTTGATATTTTTGATTGCAGGAATTTAGAGTCGGTAACGAAGCTACAGGACTTGAACATCATGTCATCACTTGAAGAATCAGTCATGGTGAATTGGCCAAATGTTGGAATGTTACTTGGGTGCGGAAATAATTTCGCCAGTCTCAGTCGTTTGATAATAGGTAAGTGCGCTGTTCTGGAGTCCTTCCCAGAAGGAGGCTTCCTCACTGCCAACCTCAGAATACTTGAATTCAGTGATTGCGTGAATATGAGATCCTTGCCCACGACCAACCAGATTCTTCAAAGTCTCGAATCCCTTACAATATTATACTGTCCAGCTCTTGAGTCCTTTCCCGAAAGAGGCTTATTAGGCTTGTCCACCCCCAACCTCAAAAGCCTTGTTATCCACGGCTGTGACAATCTGAGGTCATTGCCGTTTGATCAAATTCAAAGCCTCACATCACTTGAATCCATAACAATTGAATATTGTCCATGTCTCGAGTCTTTTCCCCAAGGCATTTTTCATTTGCCCCCCAACCTTGTTACACTTACTATCAGCACTATCAGGGAACTACTCAAGCCCTTGTCAGGGTGGGGTCTGCACAAGCTCACCTCTCTTTGAGAATTCAGTATTAATGGTGGATGTCCAGAGCTGGTAACCTTTCTTCCTGATGATCACAAGTACTGTCTACTTCCTGCAACTCTAACCTCATTATCCATGAAAGATCTGCCCAATCTGGAATCCATATCATCATCCAAGGGCCTCCAAAATCTCACCTCTCTTCAACAGCTATCTATCTCGGACTGCCCTCAGCTTCGATCCTTGCCAAAGGAAGGCCTGCCTTCCATGCTTCAAAGTCTTGTAATCGAGGGATGTCCACTTCTTAAACAACAATGCTTGGAGGGTAGAGGTGATTACTGGCCCAAGATTGCCTACGTCCCCTATGTCGCAATACAGACCTGGAATGACTGATCCCTACGCTTTTCTGTCAGGTACCCTCTCTTCAACATCTATATATCTGGAACTGCCGTAATGTAATGAACTTGATCTTGGTTGGAGCAGAATTAATATAATCCACATTGAATCAGGATATTCTTCTTCATTGAATGTGTACTCGTTTGGATTGTTGGAAAACGTGCTAGTTTTAAAAACTTTTCGAGGGATTTTAATTCATAGATCTTGATTCATTACATAGAGACAAGTTTTATGCAAAAATAAAACATGATGTATCATTCAATTAAAAGATTGAATATTTACATCAAGGTTTGAGTAAACCTTAGATCTCTCCTCTAAAGTGAATATTCTCACTTATTGTAGATCCCTTTTGCTAGACACCTTTTCCATAGATCTCCATCTCCATCTTCTTGGTAATGGTCTTGCCTTTAGGAATCACTCATAAGCCTCCATTAATGACCTTGGAAAACTAGGCTTGTGGGAGCCTCCATTAGATGAGAACATAAACCCTAATTTTCTAGAGAGAGAAAATAAATTCCATTTTCCTTCTCATTAAAAATCACCCCCTAAAATATACATAGACCATGTATATTTATTGGCAACATAAAAATAAAGAAAAGGAAACAACAAATCCTTCTCCATCTCTGATTCATATGTCTCAAATCTGATATGATTCCAATATCAAGTTGGGCTATGAGTGAGAATCCATTGGGCCTATTATTTTATTGGCTATAATGAATTAATAATTGGCCCGGTCCATGGACCCAATTCAATTAATTCATAAATTAATTTCTACTCCACTAAAAGAAATTAATTGAACTCCAATTAAATAATAAATAACCACTAAGTCAATATTGCACTTTGACCCCTCTATGCATAATTAGTTATCGGATAAATAATGCCATCAATCCGACTACTTAATTAATATATTTATTTTGGTACATTTGATTATTTCTGGCTTGATCACAATAAAACATTTGTTTGACAAAAATAATAATTTAAATAAATAAATATATAATAAATCATTTTGTCTAAAAACACACGAAGGCCTTCGAATTTACTTTGTGATCAACCATAATCAATACAAAATAAATACAAGTAGCAATGATGCAAATATTGAAAATATAACCCTCTAACTATTAATTACATAACTACCCAAAGTGTCGGTCTAAGGATCCCGAAGAATCCGCCGAACAAATCAAAGTAATTATTAATTAATAAAAGAGTCTATACTTTTCTCATGCTTAAGAGTCAAATGCCATGATGGTGATAGGGAGTAATTGCATACGACGGCTCTCGCAATATATCTCAACCTAACGCGGATCCAGTTCAAGTCTTAATTAATTATGAGTCCATCCATAATTACCGACTATGAACAATTTATAATTACTATTTATATATCATGCATTGATTGCCATCACATACATATATATAAATATTTCTTGTAATTACATGGACACTATCAATTTCATAGTGAATCGAAACATAATACATTGAATTCACCAATTATATAAATCATAAATATTTCAGATGTGTCAGGAACATATGTCACTATAATCCAGATAGGAATTTGCTATGCCAGGGCATATAAATCCCAACAGCTCCCACTTGCCCTCATAGCCAATTCAAATTTCACCTAACTCCAATGTTATCCAGATGATGATCAAAATTATTGATCAATGACACCTTTGATAATGGATCAACAAAGTTGTGTTCTAATGCAATGTTCTAACTACAAGTGCATTTTCTTGCCGGACAATATCACGTAGAACATGATACTTCCTCTCAGTGTATCTTGTTCCTCTATGGAACCTTGGGTCATTGGTTTGGATTACTTCTGCACTATGGTCACAACATAGCTCAATAGCCAGGCTAGTATACTCCACAACCTCTAAATCATTGAGATCAAACTAATAGGCTTCCTTTGCCGCCTTTAAGGCTGCAATATATTCCACCTACAGGTTTGAGTCAGCAGTTGAAATCTGCTTAACAATCTACCAACTGATTTCCATTCCATTAAGTGAACATACACTAAGTCATGAACCTCATAGTATCTACTTCTGATTGAAAATCAGAACTAGCATACCTGACTAGGACCATATCATCACATCCATAAATGAATATGATATCATTGGTTCTCCTTAGATACTTAATGATATTTTTCACAATAGACCAGTTGTCAAGTCCAGTATTGGACTGATCTCTACTGACTATCCCTACTATGTAGCGGATGTCCTGTTTGGTATAGACCATGGCATATATGAGACTCTCATATGCCGAAACATATTGTTCCAGTCTCATTTGCTCAATCTCCTTTGATAGTCTTGAAAAACTACTTACTAGAGAGAGCCATCCATATCAATAAAGCAAGAACTCATTCTTTGAGTTATGCATACCAAACCTGGTCAAAACTTTATCAATGTAGGATTATTAAGATAAGCCTATTTTCCTTTTAACCTGATCTTGCAAAAGCTTGATCCTAGGAATCTAGCTTACATCCTGAAAATCCTTCATTTAAAAGTAATTGAACAACTACCTTTTTATTGATGACAAAACTTCCACATCATTCTAAATGAGTAGGATGTCATCAATATATATAGAATTAGAAAAATAATGACATTCCCTTGTACACTCATGATTTATTCACTAAGAAATCTTCTGGTATCTTTTTGTAGATTAACTTGCCTTCCATAGGAATCACCCTACTAGAAAGTTCTACAAGATCCCAGAATTTATTAGAATACATAGATTCCAACTCTGATTTCATAGTAACTCACCAAAACGATCTGTATCCACATCGGTTCACGCTTCCGTGTAGCTTACTGGGTCCAATTCATGTTTAACAGGGATGTCCATAATGGTCTCACCTAAAAACATGATTCTGTCGAATTGGATGATAATCCTCCCACTACATCAATGTACCGATGCAAGAATCTGTGTAGTAGATGATGCTAACGCATCAATAGGGAATTCATATATTATTCTCAATCTCTATAATAAGTGTGTTCACATGTGGTACATCTGGTACTCATACCAAATTCTCTAACATTATGCTACTAGGTATGTGATTCATAACATGATTCTCCTATAGATAAACAGTGAGTGAAAACAATCAACTTTTATCTTTGAGATCGTAAAATAATCCATCCTAGTGACATTTAGAGTAGCTATCAAATCTAGAATGCATATGATCTGCTTCCAACTTACTTGTCCATATCAAGCGCACATGTGCAAGACTACCCCATATGCGCATGTGATTCAAACTAAGATTTAGTCAAAAACACAACTCAACGGTATCCTTAAGACAGACTAAGATGGAATGCAGTTCATAATGCGCATCAATGTCATTAATGCTAAACTCTTAAATGAAAGAGATAATGTAGCATAACTGTTCATAGATCTAACCATGTTAAACGGAAATTCTGTTATTCCTATTTGACACCTCAATCCATTTAGCGTCAATTGCGGAAAACTGGTACATAATACCCTCATTGACCATATAGTCTTTGCACTATCCCAAGAAATACTCATATCCTCGATCAGATCGAAGTGTCTTGATAAGTTTACCTAATACGTGTTCCACATCAGTCTTAACCTTCTCAGAAAATACCAAGAGTTTAAGACTTGTGTTGCATTAGATAAACTTATCCAAAACGTGAGTAATCTTGCTTGGATGTTCATAAGACCACACGTGTCAGTGTGTACCGACTCCAATTGTCCTTTATGTCTATTTCCTCTGGCTGATTAAGCCCTAAGAGTTATCTATCCTTCAAAACAGGGTTCACAAGTTTGGTTTAGGCTCCCCTGCCTCACTAGGTAATTAACCTTCTTTGACCAATCTTTGAATCTTATTTTGATTAATAACAACCCAAAAATAGACATTAAAAATACAATGAGTCAGGAATAACAATTTTTCTCTTAACATTCAATCTAGAAGATGCAACATTAGTTTTTACATCCTGCAAATCTTAAGAGTTTGTGATTATAGTATATTAACCATCTTTCAATGCACCAGAAGCAATCGCATATCTATTCAATTTTATAAAACTAGTTTTACAAAATAACAACACAGTTTTTATAAACCAAAAGTGAAATAAGAATGAGATTGCGTTTCACTTCTGTGCATAAAGATAGTTCTCTAATACTAATATCCTCATACTCTCTAATTTCAGATGTAATACTCCCATTGACTTAACTACAACCTTGGCATCAGGTCAAAAGATAAATATATATCCATATCATCAAGGCTTCTGGATTCCTGAAATCCTTACAATAAATTGCAAACATGTTTAGTGGCTCCAGAATCTATCCATCAGGAATTAATAGATACAACCACATAACATGGCTCAATGATTAAATATATATTTTCCTATGCCACGTCATTGCTTAGACAGTTTGTCCTTTAGTGTCTTAGTTAGCGACAAAAGAAACAGTTTTCTTCGCCCTCAACATACACTGCCTTATTCCCTTTAACCTTTTTGAATACCCATGTTTTGTGCTAGCCTAGTCCTATTATCATCCTTCTTCTTTGCTTTGCCCGTCCACTTGGGCCTAGAAGAAGATGGTATAGACTAGGTTAGATTGATAGGAACACCCATACTCTTGATTATCCCTTCATCTGTTACCAATTCTATAAGAATATCAGCGAGTGTAAACTTAAACTGATTCCTTATTTAGTTCACTTTAATAGAGTCGAACGAGTTTGTAACAAGGCAATAATCATGTCAACTTGAAACTTACCACCCAAGTCAGCCTTATTGATCTCCAGCTAATTTTTAAATAATAAACAATCATTTTTCAAAATTCGATTTCATACTGGAGTTCCTTAGGCTATCTTGATGCTATTCAAGTCTGATATAGTACTTTGGCATACTCTCTATCTAATCTCACCAAAACATCTTATTGACATTTAACATGATGCTTGAAGAAAATAAAATAATGTAAATGTTAACTTTGGAGCGTATTCGAGGTAAACTCTAGAATATTGCACCAATTCATCTCATTTGCCTTATTTCACTTATTCAAAGCATTAATGTTCTCTTGGGTATCTTAAAGTAAAAGGATTAGGTTTAGGAGTAGTAAATACATTTGTACCACCACGTTGTGAATAAAATATCTAAATTCCTTTTCTAGTCATTATAAATGAAATCCACATACATTGAAATTAGCAAGCAGATAAAATGGATTAGACATAATTAGTCTGAATATAAATGCATTCATACAATATGCAAGGTGAATTATTAATACTGTCATGCATATTTAAAATTAAAATGAATTTGTTTACCACATAATATAATAAATCTCAATCGAACAAGAGATCATTATCATTATGGGTGAACAATCCCTTTTAATTAATGTGGGTCCCTCAACTCTGTAGCATAATAAATCAACCAATCAATATGTCAATAACTTATCCTATTGGAGGAGTTCATTATTACTATTGTAAAGATTCATTTGCTATTAGGTGAGAACTTCCATTAAAATAATATGTGGGTCCCTTAACCACTGCATGAAAAATCGGATAACCAATACACCAATAACTTATTCGGTTGGCGAAGTTCATTATTGTTATTGGCGGGCAAATCCCATCATCTCCATATCTCTTAAGACAATGCCTTGTCTATTCATATGAAATGATTCCCGATTATGTTTAGCCTTTCTAAAATCATCTAGTGTAGACCACTCCGTTGGGGAGCTAACACTATTAATTTTAGATTGAGTGTATAACGTTATTAAAACTCTAATGAAAAATAAAAAATATATTAAATATCTTGTCATTATAATCTAGACTCTTTAAATCATGCGTAGGGCTTTATTTTTAAAGATCTAATTACAATGAACATTTAATATTATTGTTTTCATGAGACAACCATTCTTGTAATATTAAGACTCTTCAAATCATGCGTGGGGCCTTATTTTTGAAGATCTAATTACAATGGTATTAATAACGAAGGCCATGGGGTAATGTATAAAAATCCCCGCTCCCACTCAATTTTTAATCATTCATAATTAGGATTTTCATTTTATTCAAATACATGATATGATGCATACAAAATGTCTTGATTTTAATCCAATTAAATTTAGAAAATATTTGGACTTTAAACGATTCACTAATATTTAATTTGAGGCACACTTCAAAAATAATTTACAAAAATAATTTTTCGTTTCCCAATAAGTGCCCTCTAATTAATTAGTAATCAAATCCAATTAATTTTCATAATTTAACTAATATAAATCAAACCATTTAAATAAATATCATGGATCCAATGCATGAACAATAATAATTAATAATTATTTATTCCATGCATTTCATACATCACATAAATGATCAAGCAAATAAAAAGCGGCCAATGAAATAAGCTTTTAACATCTAAAAACTATTCTTGCTGTGCGGGCGTCCTTCAACAGTCTGTAAACATCTATAGGAAGCTTGTACGCGTTAGGAGAAGTAAAATACTGCTTGAAACGAACCCCGAGGACTCCACACGCGCCTGGAGCAAGCAGAAGGACAACACACGAGCCCCCACGCGCTCCCACGCGCTTGCACGCGCCTGGGACGCGCCCCCACGCGCTGGCATGCGCCAGGGGCGCGTGGGACGCGCCTCCACGCGCGTGGAGGAGTGTGGCTTTGGCTGACATAGTCAGCGCGTGAGCTCCACGCGCCTGAGGTGCTGACTTGGTCAGCGCGTGAGCTCCACGCGCCTTGTTTTTTTTTATTTTTCCAGCTATGATGGCGCGTGATCTTCACGCGCGCTTCTTGTGAGGCTGCATACCATCCTCCATGTAGGTGCGCTGCACCTTATCAACTCCAGCGCTGACTTTGATCCAAGGGTCCTGATAGCGGTTGCACCAAATTCTGGTGTACAGCGAAGCATGTGATCATCAGTCCTCCTATCTCCGGCTAATACCTCGCCGCCGGCAATTTTCTGGTCGCCGGAAAAACGCCGAAAATTCCAGAAAATATAAATTAAGCCAAAAAAATTCCAGAAAAATTCCGAAAAATGCCAGAAAAATTCCAGAAAATTCATGAAGCCTAATTTAACCCTTTTAGACCTTCTTGAAGCTTCATAGCACCCTTTGATGAATATTACATGGCTTTAAATAAATTTACAATTTGAAATACAATGGAAAAAATTAAATTACATTATTGAACTTTCAAACGGCTAAATCAAAGCCTTAATTACATTCATCCAAAAATAAAATTACATTCCAATAACCTATAAGCTTCATCCATGGCCCAACCATTCATCAACATTCATCCAATCACAAATATACATACATCATGATCATATAAAAATATATACATATGCATATATAAATTTGGATCCATGAATGATGATTTTCATAAAATCATGATCTCTAGTAATGAATCAAACCATGCTCTGATACCACTGTTGGAAAACGTGCTAGTTTTAAAAACTTTTCGAGAGATTTTAATTCATGGATCTTGATTCATTACATAGAGACAAGTTTTATGCAAAAATAAAGCATGATGTATCATTCAATTAAAAGATTGAATACTTACATCAAGGTTTGAGTAAACCTTAAATCTCTCCTCTAAAATGAATGTTCTCACTTATTGTAGATCCCTTTTGCTAGACACCTTTTCCATAGATTTCCATCTCCATCTTCTTGGTAATGGTCTTGCCTTTAGGAATCACTCATAAGCCTCCATGAATGACCTTGGAAAACTAGGCTTGTGGGAGCCTCCATTAGATGAGAACATAAACCCTAATTTTCTAGAGAGAGAAAATAAATTCCTTTTTCCTTCTCATTAAAAATCACCCCCTAAAATATACATAGACCATGTATATTTATAGGCAACATAAAAATAAAGAAAAGGAAACAACAAATCCTTCTCCATCTCTAATTTATATGTCTCAAATCTAATATGATTCCAATATCAAGTTGGGCTATGAGTGAGAATCCATTGGACCTATTATTTTATTGGCTATAATGAATTAATAATTGGCCCGGTCCATGGACACAATTCAATTAATTTATAAATTAATTTCTACTCCACTAAAAGAAATTAATTGAACTCCAATTAAATAATAAATAACCACTAAGTCAATATTGCACTTTGACCCCTCTATGCATAATTAGTTATCGGATAAATAATGCCATCAATCCGACTACTTAATTAATATATTTATTTTGGTACCTTTGATTATTTCTGGCTTGATCACAATAAAACATTTGTTTGATAAAAATAATAATTTAAATAAATAAATATATAATAAATCATTTTGTCTAAAAACACACGAAGGCCTTCGAATTTACTTTGTGATCAACCATAATCAATACAAAATAAATACAAGTAGCAATGATGCAAATATTGAAAATATAACCCTCTAACTATTAATTACATAACTACCCAAAGTGTCGGTCTAAGGATCCCGAAGAATCTGCCGAACAAATCAAAGTAATTATTAATTAATAAAAGAGTCTATACTTTTCTCATGCTTAAGAGTCAAATGCCATGACGGTGATAGGGAGTAATTGCATACGACGGCTCTCGCAATATATCTCAACCTAACGTGGATCCAGTTCAAGTCTTAATTAATTATGAGTTCATCTATAATTACCGATTATGAACAATTTATAATTACTATTTATATATCATGCATTGATTGCCATCACATATATATATATATAAATATTTCTTGTAATTACATGGACACTATCAATTTCATAGTGAATCGAAACATAATACATTGAATTCACCAATTATATAAATCATAAATATTTCAGATATGTCAGGAACATATGTCACTATAATCCAGATAGGAATTTGCTATGCCAGGGCATATAAATCCCAACATGGATATCATGTATAGGCTCTTTAATTTTGTTCATTACATTCTCCTGAAAGAAAACTTATTTCTAATTAGCTTTGTTTGCCTTGGCAAAAAAAAAAAAAAAAAAACACCTAACACTATTTGGAAATTTGAATCACTTTTCCACTTATAGGGAGGCCCTGTTTTAACAGACATTTGGGGCTGCTTGTGGACATCAAACTCTTGTTCCTCTGTGTGTCACACCTTTTTCATCATCACAGAAAGAGTCAATCTTTTTTGTTTCTAATTTTAAAAAATAAGAGTGAATTTTACGTATTGTTAAGGAGCTATCAAAATGTCATTATTTGATCTTCAGATTCAGTAATTATCATTTTCTTGTTGACTGAATTAGAGTGTGTTACCATTGGAGGATCTATGGGAGCATGGGCTGGCTATGAACACTCATTTGCATATGCTTATTGTTTGACGGATGATATTACTTTCTGTTACAGGAGATAACATAAGATGTGAGCATCACATCATCATTCCATAATGTTAAATTCCTTTCGGACAATGAGCAACTCGAAGAAGTATCTTTAATATACGGTTTCCAATCCTTTTTGGTGATCAAGGATGGTTACGTTGTTCATTTTAAGGTATTTTTCTTCTTGTTTCTTCTCCCCAAGGATGTTCTTGTTTTTTTTTTTTTTTTTTTTTTTTTTTTTTTTTTTTTTTTTCTTATTCTCTTGTGAAAATTACCAACCTTTAAAATTATTTTGCCCTTATACCTGTTCAATTGAATCAGAGGTGGAACTAAATTTCATGAATTAAATTCTGGTTGGTATTATTATTTTTGAATATTTTATTCTTTATTCATGAATTAAATTCTGGTTTGCTCGTTTAAGTGATTAAACGATATATTTCATAATGTAGTTTGTGTTTCTTCTTTGTGATGCAGTGTTTGGTGTTCTTAACCTTGAGGGTGAAATTGGGTCGATGATTAGTGAAGGTCCATGGGTGTTTGCGGGCTTGCCAAATGCTGTTAAGGTACTTTGTTTAGACTTTTGAACATTGCCATAATATTTTATGGTCGTTAAATTATGGGTATATATAGTTTGGTCCGTGTTGGTGTTGGTGATGTTGCAGGCATGGAACACCCAGAGTCATACTGACCTGACTCTTGATGGACCAGTTGGGGCAGTTCACGCAACGACATGCTTTTTGCTGGGACTCAGGTCGCTACTCTTAGTACTAGCATTGTTTCTCGTAATTTTTAGCATAGTTTTGAGATCAAAGGTGCTTATTTTGATTATTGGATTGGTTTGAAATTGGATGTTTATATAATAGTCTCTATTCCATTTTTGAACAGGATGGTACCATATTGGCATGGAAGTCCGGTTCTGATACTAATCTCTTTGAGCTTGCTGCATCACTGAAGGGTCATAGTGGTGGTGGTGTTTCCCTAGTTGTTGGAGCTAACAGACTATACTCTGGTTCCATGGATCACACCGTAAGAGTAAGTTTGTCTTGATTATGATCTTTTCCCTACTGATCTGCCCTTTATTTTTCATGCTTGGTCCTTTATTTAAGGATTGGTAATAATTACATTTTCTCTTTCCAGGTGTGGGATCTCAACACTTTAGAGTGTATTCATACATTAAATGGGCACACAGACACTGTGATGTCAGTTATTTGCTGGGACTACTATTTATTGTCTTCTTCATTAGATGGAACAATGAAGGTATATTCTTTTATTGTTATTAATTGATACTTTATACATTATCTTATTATGAGTTTGTGACTCTGATTCCTTCCTTTTGCGCAGGTTTGGGCTGAGACTGTTGATGGGAACTTGGAAGTAATCTACACACACAATATAGGGCATGTAAGTTTTTTAATATCTTTTTCTGATAATCATTTTTGTATATATTTACACATGTTATATCTTATTTGTTAAATGTTGAATTTCATTTTTCTTAAACTACGTGTTGTTAATGGAAGGTGACTTTTAAATTTAGAACTTGTATGTTAATTGGGAATATGCTACACTTATCAAGCTTTTCTATAGGAACAGGACTGGGTAAAATAAATTCATCTTACTTGAATGCAAGGAATGATATTATTATATTTAAGTTGAATGTTCGGATTACTGTGTATGCAATTTACTAGAAGTTAGTTGCACTCAAAAGATTTCCGTGAATTACAATCGACATGGGTAAAATTCCTGTTCCAATATTTCATTAGTCATGCTGTAGTGGTTAAGGCCCAGTATTTTTTTTTTTTTGGGTGTCCGGGATGGCACGAACCCTTAGGGCCCCTCAACAACCCGACTAATCCCTGAGGACCCGGAAGGGTGCCTTCCCACCCGGGCCGGGTAAGTCACTACAGGGACAGCGGAGGCTAGGCACAAAGAACACCTAGTGGGACTCGAACCCCAGACCTTAAGCTTGCTAAGCTCCAAAGTCCAACGAGTAAACTATGGGCATATCCGAAGTGGATGTTAAGGCACGGTATTTGACTCGACTAAATCCATAGTTTCCCTAATTGCTTATCATGGTTGAAGCACACAAAACCACTGGTTAATAGCATTTTTGAGGGTTGCAAATTTTAGAGTTCTTTTATGGTTGGGTCAGTAATGTTTTGAGTATAAAGATGGTGATTGGAGGGGAGGGATGTGACAAGAATTCCAAATTACGACAAAAGGAAAGTTTACCATCTGGGGAAGGCTTCCACAAGATGATATCTTTGTTAGATGAATTAGTGTTGGGGATAGTTGATGGATTAAGGATTCTATAAATGAAAGAATGGAATGATTTATCAACTTTTAATAACTTCAATAAAAAAATTTACTATTAGTGTCAATCTTTTGTTTTTCCCTTTTTTGGCAGGTTGCACATATAGAGGACTGATACTTGCAGAATCACTAAGCAGCTGTAGAGAGGAATGATACTTGTAGGATGACTAAGCAGCTAGTTTCTGATCTTTTTATTTTTATTTTTTTGGGTGTGTGTGTGAGATAGTGTGTGTAATTTGATGCACATTGTAAGCATATGGAAGTGGTAAACTTAGATGTTTTGTGATCATTGATGTAATTGATATTTTATTTCATTTTGAACACATTGGATTTAGTTTGTTTCATGGATAAATGTAATTTCGGAAGGGGTATAATGTGATTGTTGGTAACAGAACTTCCAGGTTCTTTATTTTTTATTTTAGAATGAGAACTTATGTCGCCCAAGAAACTGTTCGAATCAATAGTGGTGGTTTCTACCATTGGAGAAAGACTTCTTACGCCTTTAATACTTAGTTATCTATCATTATGTATCGGTATTTAATTAACTGAGAGTGGTACATGAATCACCGGAATGAACGAGAGAAGCATTTTAAAGCAATGGCTAATGTTCAGAGATGGGAATCAATGTGTTATTTGGCACGGCAGCCCAAAGACTGAGGTAGCCTTTCTTGTACAGTGGGTGTGCAAAGTTTTTGGTCCCCTTGAAATGACACTTTGGGGTGTATCTATTTTATAAACCCTTGAAACATATTGGTAAATTGTCATTAAATTTGGAAATTTTGTAATTTTATCTTAAAAAAAAAAAAAAAAAAAAAAAATATTTATAATTCTTGATTAAATGGATGTTCATACCTCTTGCTGTTCTTAGTGAGGCTTGCTAGCATGAGTGGTTACTGGATTTATAATGTAAACATAGAAAGATGGAGGTGAAATATGGGTAGGTGCATTCTGGTAATTAATTTAGTTAGATTCATTCAAGAAGAGATTACAAATAGTGACATTCTTTCATACTCATGAAACTGTCTCATTCAGGCCACTGCCCTAGGCCTTGAGCAATTATTTTTTGAATTTAGAACAAATATTTATATAGATATTTATAAGGTCTCTAAATATTTTCTTACAATATTTGTAAAAAATATGCAACTCTTTTGTTCTTTGGAGTGTTTGGCTCTATTCTGTGTCTGGCTCTGCAAGTCTTCCATTACATTTTCCAAATCAGTTGGCGTGTGCATATTCATCATGTTAGATGAAACATCTTAATATATTGCAATTTTTTTTTTTTTTTTTTTTGGGTACATCTTAATATGTTACATGATATCATTGAAATGCATGATGAAAAGCTTCCACATAATTTGTCCAACAAAAATTGGGAAAAAAACAAAAAGATTTAAAGAAGATTCTACAATTCACGCGCTTTCATTTTGTTATCAAAATTGGTACAAGTCATGTTTTGATTATGAGTAGCGCTACTCACACCATTCCCGAGGTCTAACAATTTATTGCAGTACAAAAATAATATTTCTTTGATTATCTAATGATAGACAAACATATTATGAAGTGATTGATCCAACGTCACACTCTCTTGTGGTCCCACTAAGATTTAGTATTCACAATTAAATTGACTATTCCACTTTCAATTTGAGGATTATTAATATTCAATTTAACATATTATTCGAATTTTTGTACTAATGTTGTGATCTTGATATAAATGTGATGGGTACTCAAATTAAAAGCGTCATCCCAATGCCCTACATAGTTACGAGTGGTCCGGAGATTATTGTTTAGCCAATTATCATTAGACATGTAAACAAAATATCAAAAAAAATTTACACATTTTTTACAAAATAAATTGCATGTTCAATGATGATTGAACATAATAACTTCTTCTCATTAATTATATCTCCTTGGCCTTTTAGTTCATGTACGACATTAACTCTCTTGAGATTTTTGTCAATGCTACTTAAATATTGGCCAATTGTATTTAACCGTTCCTCGACTTAGTTTTTTTGTAATAAACACCCCTTATTATTATTATTATTATTTGGCCAAACTATCCCCTCAACCAATCAAGAGAGTTTTTTTATTTTTAACTAAAATACCCCCTACCAAAAGTCACTGAGTAAGGTTTTTTCTTTCTATATTATAATAGTTAATATATATTTTTATCTTTTTCCCATATGGGTAGGTGCTAATCACATTTACATATTATCATATATGCTCTTACATTATAATAATATATACTTACATTAATATCATTTGTCGTAATCTTTATTTCATATGAATAGATTCTCTAATCACATTTATTTATTATCATAAATGATATTGGCCATGGGAATTGCCTTATTAATGAGAATAATTTCTGATTGATTCCAATAAAAGCTCTTCAATTATTTAATAATTTTCCCATTTACAGAAGTACTATAAAATTCCACCCCGAGTAGGGGACTAGGGTGGAAAAAACTGCAATAGTTGTGTTGCAAATTTACCAAAGAATATGGAAAAAGCATCGTTTAAGTTGGCCTTCTCAGTATTGCTGTTTGTTGCATTCAGTAATTACTCTCTCTCTCTCTCTCTCAAGATCTGTGTGTGTTTTGTTTACAGTTATTTATTTATTTGTTTGTAAATTCTTTTTCCGTATAATCTGTTACTGCATTTGATAGTACAACTAATTATGTTTAATTATTCTTAACTTCTAATTCAACCATGAATCCATTTATCTGCAATGGAATTAAAACTCCATCAAAAGCAATATAATATATATAAAACTATACCAAGTTTAATTTATTTGGTTATGGTAAGATGTTGAGAACAACTATTTTTTTTTTTTTGTTTTTTTTCATAGCTTCACAAGAAATTCATACGCTCACTTTGTCTATATGAGAATTGGAACCTTCTTCCTTCTCATATATATATAGAAACTCACATACACTGTATTAGGGGCGAACGCAGAAAATTATCTAAGGGGGGCAATAATGAAATGTTTTAGTAATTTTATGAGGGCAATAGTAATATTTTGGAGGCATATAATTGCAAAAATAAAAAATTAGTAAGGTATATTAATAAAAATAAAAAAAAAAATTTGTATGTACGTCCATGCCTGACCGTGGGCAAAATTTTTTGTTATAGTATTTTACACCCCTAAATTTGTACATTTTTACATTTATACTCATAAAATTTTAAAATTACTCCCACTGAAATTATGTAAAAACTCCTATAAATAAATTTGCCACTTCTCATATGAATTTCTAAATCCATAACTGGCCTGCAGGGAGAGGAGAATTGTATAAGAGGGGATGGCTTTGAAAAACAATAATATATGGTGGGGTATCATTAGAAATTGACTGAGGACATATTTAAATTTTTTTCAAAAAAATAAGGATGTTTTTAAGATTTTTACACAATTTATAGATAATTTTGTAAACAAAAAAATTTCAATGCTGTCCCCACTAGGTTCTTCATGGGTCGGTGTCTGCACAGCCACAGCATAAGAGACTTAAAATCTCGACCATCTACTTAGAATAGTGAAAAAGTATAGCTAAATTTTCCTTTGGAAAACGAAAAATTGAGTATCTCTAAGCGGTAAATGTAATTGATTTCATTCTAACTAGAGTAATGTTTGATTAATATTAATGGTAAGTGCAGGTTTGGCTTTGGAAGGTGAAACAAGAGAGCAAAAAGTAGAGCAATGCAAGCATCCCAGCGATTGCAACAAGTATTGCCATGGACACACTGACAATTGGTGCTTGGACGACGGTTCTTGCGCATGCCGACGACCAAATTTTGCCGCCGATGACTCGGCCGGATCGAAAAGACTCTTACCGGAATGTTTGTCGGACTGGCAATGCATAGATACCTGCAAAAATTGCGTTGACTATCATTGCAATCTTACAAGCCACAAATGTGTTTGCGCAGAGTGTGTGAGTGAGTGAGAGTATGTTAAGACCAGCAGTTGGTCTGAAACGAGCTTCGTTCCTTATATATATTTATATATCTAAATATAAATAATATAAATAATTGGTTTTATCCGATCCAAAGACTTATTAAATTCTTATTTGATTTTAATACAAGTGAGCAGTCTCTTTTTTAAATAATTGGATGTGCCTTCAGTTTCTTCTAAGCTCTCATTCAATGATTTGTAAATTTTAAATTGAATAGTAATTTCAAAAAGATTACTTAATTTAAGAAAACTGTTGTAGATGTAAATTTTGTTTGTTCTTCCTAGGATCTTTTCTGTCAGGAAATTTATTAGCGGCAACAAGTAGTAGCAGAATTTTGGGTCTGATTCACTAAATAATTTTTTTTCGGTTAATCTCATTCCGCTCAAATATCCCATTTAGATTGTTCTATATAATTTTGAAATTCTTAATTTTACTTTCTGAAAACAATTTTTCTAAAATCCCTGATTATAATTAAAGAAAATTTCAAAATACTATCTTATTTTTCCTTATAATTTAATAATACTCCCTTCGTCTAAAAAGAGTATCTCTATGTCTACTAGCTGCAGAGAGTCGTGATCATATATTTCACAAATGCAATTACTCAAAGGTGCTCTGGAATGGCATCCAAGAACAATGTGGATTTTATACAAATCCGAGTTCATGGAAGGTTTTCCTCATCTGGGCATATCCTCAAATTGGAAACACAAGTTAAAATTCAGCAGAATCATGACATGGAAGCTGGTATTAGATAGCTATATATATCATATCTGAAAAGAGGGAAACAATAAAATGTTTTCAAGCAAAGAAGTACCTGACACTCAATATGGTGCTCAACAAAGTTCGTTCCAGACTTTTTTCAATCAAGAAATGTGATTGTCCTTATGCTGAGATCATTGCACAAGACTGGAACTTGCCCTCTTCCTTCTATGACGCTGCACAATCAAACCCCTTTTGTTACCGTTAATTTCTTGGTGGGGTTCATTACATTGAAGCTTTCAATTTCAAAGGCGTGTTTGGGTGAACCCTTTTTTAAGCTCTATTTTTCTTCTGTGTTACTTAGGCAATTTAAATTTTATTTGTTAATTCAATTCAACTTCTCTATATAAATTTTAAAATTAGTCCCACTGAAATTATAAAAAAAAATTTCTCTATATAAGTTTGGTCCGTATGAATTCTTAAATTTGTCCTTGGTCTGGTGCTGCTTTTCACTAGACGACCAAATCCTCCATATCTTTCATCTCAAATCTTGCCTTTAGAGCCGCAGTTTGCATCATTTGGGAAGAAGGAAATTCAAGAGTTTATCAACAAAAAGCCTCTTCACAGAACTGCATTCTCCGCCGAATTATAGAGGTAGTCTATGTATGGAATTATAGAGGTAGTTTATCATCTTGAGCGTGTTCTCCATAGCTGATTGCACCTGCTGTGAAAGATCTGCACTCATAAAAGGAAAGTTTTATATCAACAGAAGAAA